TTCAAACATGTGCGTATATTTTAAAACCCGAAACAGGGTGGGCCCTTATCTAGCTCGGGCCCCTGACATGGGCGCCCGATGAAAACTTTCTGGGGGGGGGGGGGCAAAAAATCGATTAACTTTCTAGGGGGGGGGGCAAAATTTTTTTAGTAATTTTTTTATGTAGTTTTAATTTATTACTTAAATACATTTGTTGTCTATTTTTGTCGAATTTTTTTTATCCAATCAATCCAGGGGGGGGGGGCAAGTGCTCCCCTTTCCCCCCCCTGCGGGCGCCCATGGCCCCTGACAAGGGCCGTGGTTGTCCCCCCCCCCCCCGATGCAGGCCTGTCTATAGAATAGTGAATATTCCCACCACACTCTCGAGGGAGAAGATGCGTTAGAGCAGCAATTATGGAAGTACAATGAAAATTCTTAGTGTTTGTGAATTCAAATGGTTGAGTTTTCATCCTATTAAGTAGTGTACATTAATGACTTGCTCACCAGCTCCCAACCCAAAAGAAGAAGGTGAAGCGCCTCTGCTGTTTATGTTGCACGTCCGGACCAATCACAGCGGAGCTCAGACTGAGCCACAAAGGCTACGTACCAGGGGAGACCATCTTTGTCAACGCCGAGATCAGTAATCTTTCCAGAAGAAAGGTCGGCAGCACGTCAGTGGAGTTGCTGATGGTGAGAACTATTCCATAGCACTGCATGTAAATAAGCGTAATAACCAAGTCAGACTTGTAACCTTGTTACCAACCGTTATATGATTTTGAACATTAAATCTGTTTCAATATTTGGCTCGTTAGATGAACAATGACAATACGTAACAAAGTACTGAAAACCAGTATATACAGAGAGACGACACCAAAGCTAGTGATAGTAACAATACTCAATTTAGTTATACTATTACGTTAATATAAAAATATACAGAAACAAAAACCAGATTAAATGACGGCAAAGCGAGTGAAAAATTATAATCCTCGAAAGATCCAAATATTAAGATTCACACATACACAAAAAGTACAATCTTGTAACATTAGTGTAAGATATTAGGTCTCGTAAACATCTAGGAAAATTAGTAAAAATCTCTCCCGGCTGGAAGAACGGTCGGCTTGTTTATATGGAGGGAGTTGGAACCCTCAAGAAAAGATGTCATAGAGATTTCATCCCCCGATAGCATTTTTTAAACGAATTAAATCGTAAGCAACCCATTCCCAATCGAGGGAGGGGATGGTGTGGTACAGTGCTACACATTTTATCGGTGACGTCAATATATATATATATATATATATATATATATATATATACACAAAGGAGGTGAGGGAAGACAAGATAGATAAACACATATATGAACACATAAAACATATATTAAAAAGTGTAATATAAAAATAAACACACACCCACACGAGAGAGGGGAGGTGGTGTGATACTGTTATACATTTTATCTGTGTCAAGAAAATATATATATATATATATATATATATATATATATACACAAAGGAGGTGAGGGAAGACAAGTTAGATCAACACGGCTATGACCACATAAAACATATATTAAAAAGTGTAATGTAAAAATAAACCGTTTAATTGTTGTCCATTGTTTAGTAAAGTCGATTAAACAAATTAAACGACCCAGTTTTGTTTCAATTCTGTTATTTCCCCCCCACAGACAACCACGTTCCACACACCTATCAAATCTCGCTCAGTGACGCAGCAGGTTGCCACGCTTCATCACGGCACATTGACGTCTGGCAAAAGTGATTCATGGGATGGGGACCGCCTTGTCCTCCCTCCTCTCCCCCCATCTTACATCATTGGTTGCAGCATCATGGATATTAAATACACATTAGAGGTACCACGTGAGAATTCCCTTTTTAATCCGTGATCTCTGGAAGAAAACTATTTCCAAGGAATTTTCTTAAAGTAAAAAAAAAAGAAAAAATGAAGTTGAGTATTCTTTTCTCTTTTCGTTTCTGTTGGACATATGCACATTTTTTTTATTGTGCCGGAGGGTTGTGTGTTGGTAGGGGGAAAAGTGGGGGGCGTAGACCAATGCTGAATTTTTCATTACATGTCAAAATGCCTGATGTCTTTGTATGCTCAGTTTTTTCCTCCCCCACAAAAATGACTACCTGGCTGTGGTGACGAACCCAGTCAAACTGTCAATTACGGTAAATCAATGGGTGTTTTTTCCCCTCTGGCATCTTTCCGTCACAATGTGATGACGATGTAGACTTCGGAGGTAATGTTCCCTCTGAGGTTTGCTGGTTCGTGTGCAAAATCATACAGTTGTGTGCAAAGTTTTACAGCATCAAATTGTTTGTGGGCACAATTTTACAGCCCACTAACACACACTTACATGGAAATTTGCTGCTCGGATACTCAAAACTGCTGCGCGGCGTCTGTGAGAACATTGGTCGCAGGACGCAATCACAAGGCCCGGGATTTTTTCTTTTAGGCGGATGAGTTGGCTCCCTTGACAGCAAATCGCCTCTCTCCACGCACCTGGATAACCCAAGGTTGAGGGCGGTACTGCTTGGCACGAATAGCGTCGCAGGAGATGCGGGAATTTTGATTGTGTCAATATTATCCGTCCAAAGGACCCCATCTCCGAGTTTGAATTCAGAGTTTTCCTTCTCATAGATCAGTTGCCATCCAAGGCTAACAAGTCCCATCCACCAGCAAAGCAACACAATACTATGATAAAGAAAAGCGATTTTAAAAAAAATGCAACAAAATTACTTTTGTATTGAAACATTAAACATTACATTTAAACTTTATTTTCATTGAATTTAAAGACGCAAACATGTCATCAAAACCTGCTTCACCTTATCGACAAAATCACAAGACCAAAAAGCCTTGGCTGTTGCCATGATAGATCACAAATAGTGCTTTGTATTTTTCAGCTTTGAAAAGCTCCACTAACACAAAAACCAAAACACACACAGATCATGATGGATAATTGTAGGCTTAATGAGTGTATTGCTAGAGATTCCCAGTCCTTCTCTGGTGGCACCCTACTCCGGTGGAATCCTTCTCAAGTGGCACCCTGTTCAACTAGCTACCCACTCTAATGGCACCTTCCTCTGATCTGGTGTCACGGCACCCTGCTCTTGTGGAGCCCTTTCCTAGTGGCACCCTGATCTTGTATTTAATTGAATTATGTGCTAAAACCGACTCAAAAGGCCTGATTTAGAGGCATTGTCTTTAAATTTCAAGACCAACAGGTGGGCCTGACCATGTATGGAGCATGAAAAAGAGTCGTGTTGTCTCTCAACTGTTCTGTGGCACAATGGTTGGGGAAGCCAGAGCCATTCTTAGGAGTTTGGGGGCCCTAAGCATGGAGCGTAGGTTAGGGGCCCCGGAAGGGGGGTCTGGAGGTGGAGCTCCCTCGAGAAAAACACCACCCACCACTGCAGACGGCTGCAGTGCCAGTTTAAAAAAAAACGGGGGGATCGAGGGCGCCTCACGGGGGCCCCCTCACGTTCGGGGCCCTACGCGGATGCGTAGTCAGCGTATGCCTAAGAACGGGCCTGGGGAAGCTCACCAATTTAAAGTTTAGCATTTGAATATTTACCACGTTTGTTTCTGGATTCCCGTATTAGAGGGAACACAACTTAGGGAATCTCGATTCCCCCCTCCTCCCCCGACTACATTACGACCACAACACCAGCCATGTATGTTTTACTTTGATTTTCCGACGTTAAAATAAGTTGGGTAGCTTTGATGCTAAGTATAAATTATGGTTTAGCTAAAATTGATTTTTAGCTAAATTGTAATGAAGTACCGTATACCGTATCAAAACCACCGATTAAAAATATGAAAATGTGCTTTTTATTATTTATTTAATATATTTACGTAAAAAAAAAAGCACGATATTTATTGCCGCCTTTTATTTTGTTCACAGCTCCGTGTTTTCCCAGTGGGACCAGCCTTTGAATTAGCCGTGCCATTAGAAATACTCATTGGTACTGTACCCCTTACTTCTACTGTAGAGCAATACTTGACTATGCATCAAATGACACCCCCCACGCCTCGAGGTGTACGCTGTGCAGTAGGTCTGAGAGGAGCGTCTGCTGCATTGGCTGACGACGACTACAGGCCAAGCTTTTGTAAGGAGATGAAACGATGTTGACCCAAATCAATCATTTATACAGTTGAGAGTGTTAAAAGACCTTTTTTCTTAAACTAAAATATTCGCCGAATCTCATTGGGATAATTATTTTGGACCGCCATTCCTTATTAAACTTAAATCATTTGATGCCAGTACAGTTTTTTTTTTTACATTTTAGCTCAAAGCACCAAGGCTCCGTGACCTTAATTTGAGAATTATTTGTTAAAGAAATAACTTTTTTTTAAATTACGAGCTCAAAATAATTCAAAGTTCTGTAAAAGAAGAAAAGAGAGAAGGGGAGGGAGCGAAGTATATTCCTTTGGTCACTTTATGTAGCCTGCTTTTTATGAGAGAGGTGGTGAAATTGAGAGAGTGAGGATGAAAAGTAAAAGAGGGAGTATGAAAAAAAAAGGATAAAAGCGAGGGGGAGAGATTGATAGAGAGAGTGTGTGATAAAGAGAGTGTGATAGAGAGACAGAGAGAAACTACAATACATGAATCATTTGATCTAGTATAATTAATTGTTTTCTCTCCCCTCACCAGTGACTCCTACATTTTCAAAGTCACCAATGTGCCATTTCCATCTACATAATGATGAGGACGACCATCTGATGATTACTGAGACTGACTACAGCCCCTGTTATGCCATCTACAATTTTCAAACTGTTCCTCCAAGGCGGCATCAGACAGTTAGATTTGCTACATAAGTAACAAATATATCATCAGAAAATTAATTTAACTTTACAAACATGTCACTAATAAGTTCTAATTTGTTTGGTCTGAGATCATGTTATATTTTCTTTACCAAAGCCGAAATAAATTATAAACACACTCAATATAAATACTTCTTTGGAAATAAATTTTACATTAAAAAATGACTATTAAAGAGAACGCAAATTATGTTATTTATGAATTTTTAATTTTTTTAATTTACAACCACTTATCACATTTAACACATTTTAGTTTAGGCCTACTTATGGACGTTTCATAAAAACCAATTCATGGAAAGTATTGTCACAATTTTTGCAGTTAAACATGTCCTTAAATTATTTAAGGAATAATATCAATTTAATATGTTACTATCAAGGTTTTCAAATTAGAACTAAGAAAAAGCTTCATGTTATATCATGACCTTGATATTTATATTTAAATATCTGTTACACATTTTATTTTTAGTAATTGCAGTTAATCAGGAAGTAGCCTACATCAGATTATTTATATAACAAACTAAAATAGGATGTTTGGATATGTGTGTATGTGGGGGGGGGGGGAAGGTGATTTGGGGTAGGCTAATCCATAAAGGATAATGCAACGTGTAGGATTGGGGAGACCATGAAAAGAGTTGTTCTTATTTTTCAGTCTACTGAAATCAGAATTTAAAAAGTTATAACATTATCATTTATGACATATCAATTGACACAATTTTGAACCAAAGACCCTACTTTTATTTATATTGATTTGTAATATGTGTAATAAATTTTATATTATTATTATGTTAGGATAACATTAAAATGTTTAGATAAACCTCTTTTGCAAGCAAAGATATAAATAAACATTCAGTCAAAATAATGTGGTGTTATTTATAGAAGACCTCTTATTTTAAATTAAATTAACCTAAATACCACATGGTAGGCCCACTTATAAAACTCAGAGTAACAGTCTTCTCAATTTTTTGTTTAAAATGCATTTAGTTTTTTCTCTTAATTTCTTAAATTAAATAATATTTCTATAGGAAAATTGATTTTTAAATGAAAATCTACATTTTGATTCTCTCTATACATTCATTCATAATTGTAGTTGGCTTGTTATATTTGATCAAAGACATATATATTTAAATAAATAAAGCTTTTGAACAATATTTAATGCTTCCAGCATTTTTTATGTTAAAATTTTTTATTAATCATTAGTAGTGTCAACTTTCCATCAGATTTATCTTTGTTTAAAATTCTGGTAGGCATAATACATTTAAATGACAATAAATAAACATTATCTGCGAAATTAAAGAAAAATTTAAATTATAAAATATTTTAACAACTTTTTATTTATACTTTTGATTTAAAATTTCAATTCTTATTTTTAAAGTTTATTGTTGAGGGTTGTAGTACTTAGTAAAAAAGTGCACAAGTATCAATATCCTGTAAAAGCTCTTCTTAAAATGATTACATAATCAATTTCTTTTCAATTAAAAGTCCCAACTCATGTTTAATTCATTTAAAAAATGCTGACAAGTATGTAAGTAGGCAATAATCAGTGGAATTAGCATAGATTAGTGTAAAGACAGACAACTTAATTTTATAAAATGTTCCTTACCAACTTTATATAATAAATTATAGTCTGAGAGAAGCTCAGTCATCGTTAAAATAACTTAAATCATGAATCTTAAATAAAACTATTTGCTCAAATATCAAAGAAGCAACCAAATTATTAGAGCAGGTTTAAGGTATTCTTCATGCATAGCTTTCATTCTTGTCAGCTTCGGCCTGTTCGCGATTTTTCCCTGAAAAAAACACAAAAAAGGCAAAAATCTAATTATTTTAAAAAGTAATATTAAAGTTAAAGAAAGTATTTCTACAAAAATCAATATAATTCATTTTTGAAAATAATTAGATTTAACTGTTAGGCATATTGCACAATTTTGTATATAATAACACTGTTTCTAAAACATCATTAAAAAAAAAAAAGTCATTTCTCATCAGGAAGATATTTTTAAAATGTTTAAATCAAATATAAATTTGGAAGCATGAGTCTTTCATATGTTTGTAGATCAATATGGTAAAAAAATTAAAAATTAAAATTTAAAAAAAAAGAAAATATATAAATTTTTAAATATCTTAATGATTGCAATCTTCAAAAAGATAAAATGTTCCTGCTAATCTGAATAGGAAACTGAAAAATTAATTTTTAAATAATTTTATAAATAATATTATTACTGCTTTAAACTAATTTTAATAATAAATAATATTACTAGTTTAAACTAATTTTAATAATTAATAATATTACTGGTTTAAACTAATTTTACTTCATGCTATGAATATTCAAGCACGAAAACATAAGCAGACTGTTGAGCAAAGAAATGTATCAGAAATGTTGATTAAAACTCTGATAGGAAATAAAAAACTATTTAAAAAACAATGCATCAAACAATTAGCATATATGTCAAGATGCATTAAGTAATTTACTGGCAAAATCAAATAAAAGCAACAACAACAAAAAAAATAACATACATGTCAAGTTATGATTGTTATTTGTTAATATGTTTTGAACCTGATGGACAATAAATTGCTTGTATGGGATTTCAAGCAGAGTAATTTTTCAGCAGAAATTTGATATTTCATGACTTGATAAAAATGAATAGTTCAATTGTATACCTGTTGCAGAATTTCATAAATAAGTAGTTCATTATAAATGTTTATGGATCTGAAGTTTTAATTATTGCACATATTAACAGTACATAACACATATTATGCAATGATCACTTCACTCTGTGGGTACTCTTCCTGTCAAATATCATTAATAAATCTTTTTTAATTTAAATTGTAAAATTGAAAACACAAGTTAATTTTTTTTAAATTAAGAGAAAGAAAATAGATTTTTAATAATAAGTTTTATTATCAACCCAAATATTAAATATTGTTAATAAATGTATGAAATGCAAGTAAGTTATTCACTGCAGTGTATTACAAGGCAGACCCAACATCACATGATAAAAACCTTTGTCTTCAGTTTTCTCCTCTTTAACATCTCCTCTATCAGTATCATCTGTCTTATCATCACTTATTTCAGGTGATTTTTCTCTATCTGGTTCCTTATGGTTTGCGATTTTTTCATTTTGTACCTTAGCTGTGGCTGGTTCTGCATGTTTAATTGAACATTTTGCAAAAATGTAAATTTGGTTTTTAATATGTTAACATGAACCCTTTGCTTGTATAAAGATGAAAAAAAACAACAACTCAAACGAGCTATCTAACAGCATAAAACTGGTTTTAGAATAAATATCTCCTTAAAATGATGAAATAACAAGTATTTCTTTGTCCCTAAAAAAGAGTGTTAGCATAAAGGAAAATAATAAGAATGGAAAATAGTTTACATAATTTATATTCACTAGATTTTTAAATTAGGATGCATTTAAAACTGCTAGCACAAACAAAAAGTAACTATTGGAGCTTTTTTGAATAAATAATTTTAAAAAAGGACAAAAAACTCAAGAGGTTGGGGGAAAATAAACATCAGGAATATCTTACCATTCTTACTATTTTTTGGGCTTTCCTTTATAAAATAAGGAAATAAATGAACTTTTAAAGTAAAAAAAAAAAATTCCAGGTCTTTATCTATGCAAACCACGAGGCCGGTCTTTTATATGTTAAGTAAGTTTTATTGTACAGTACATCTAAAATTAGGAATGTTCAAGGTATGTTCAATGGGACTCAGTCAGCATGAGGAGAGGAGTGAGGAAATATGAATGAAAAACAACAACAATAATAAATCTTAAAAAGTGTTAAAACCAAGAGTCAGTCACTTGGTGGATGTTCTGTGCAGATGTCTAAAGAAATATTTAAACTAAACTATATCCTGTAATTAGATTTTTTAAATCTGAATATTTCTCTTACCTTTAGTTTCTTTTTTCTTGTTTTTTCCTGAAAGTAATATTGTTGTTTTTTTTTAAATATTTAACCAAAATTTAATTTTGTATCCTTATTTTGTTGATTTTATTGAAAATTTGAGAACTTTAGTTGTTGATAATAAGTTACTTATTACTAGAATTCAATACAGCTTTTTAAGTTCTAATAGCCTTTATTTATGTAACTCACCTTTAGGACTAGGACTTCTTGCTGGTGATTTTCTTCCTTCCTTGTCAGAATCTCTTTTCTCAACATCTGAATCTTTGTTTCCTGATGCGGGCCTACTGTGTTGGTCATCTTGGTCATCTTCATCCCCATCTCCTCCCTGATCTCTTTTGACTATTTTTGCATTAACCTAAAATAAAAGTGGAAATACTATTACTTAAAAAATTATAAAGTCCTAATTCTATTTCCCTAGTTAAATATACATATATACTAGCAAAATACCCTTGCTCGCAGCGGAGAGCCTTTTTAAAGAAAAAAAGGTACAAGATTATCAAGTATCCGCATATTCCAGATACTATACAATGCATTCCCTTGCGAAAATCAAACCTGCCTCAAATCAATACCAACTTTTTGTAGGGTCTGTCCTTGGGGCCCCAATCCTGGTAATACCCCATTCTAATGAGTCCCTAATCCCATTCTGAACCCGATCCCGACACAATCCTTTTTCCCGGTTTTATCCCGTTCCCGGTGGAATCATATTTCTTTGTGGCTCCGGATCCAGGGGGAATCTAGATCCTGTTGGGTATCCGAACCTGTCGGTGTCTTGTTCCCAGTGAGATCCTGATCTCAGTGGATCCCGATGAACTACCGATCCCATTAGGATACCGTTCACTGTGGGATCCCGTTCCACCTAGGGACTAAATTTTCCAAAGTTATCCCTTTTCCTGGTAGGATCCTGATCCTGGTTTGAGCCCGTTACCCGATGGGATCTCGATGGTATCCTGTTCCCTGATGGAAACGCGTAACCGATGTGTCCCATTAGGATCCTGTTTCTCTATGGGATCATGCTCAGTGCGATTTTGCTTTGAATAATCTTCTAGATCTAATTATATATCCCTGTAGAACAATATAGAACATTCTAGATTAAATTTAATATCCTTCATGAAACATGTAAAAATTACATATATACGTAATTATTTCTCGAATACGAAATATTAAACAACTAAATTGTGCTACTAACTATAATACATTCAAATTGATATGGGGGCCCCGTTGGGAGGGCCTATAAAAATCATTGAGATAAATTATACATTTAAAACTTGTCCTATTGAAAGTGGTTTACAAATGCCATAGACATAGCTTTTTTAAACTATCAAAGTTTCTAGAAAATTCTAGATCGGCCTTGAATGGATTGGATATTAAATCGAACAATATTTTAAAACAGACTAGAAGGGTATGAACTCCGCCAAGGCCGGTCCCAAGCCCAGGTGCAAAAGGAGGAGGGTTGGCATGAGATCAGCTACCTCACCCGTAAAAACAAATTGCTATAGAAACGTCAACAAGAAAAAACCAACAAATTTTAGTCCTGAGAAGAGAGGACTCTTCTTCTCCAAGAAGAGCTATGAAGCCTTGTGGCCAAACCCAGGCTATACTGGAAGCCTCAAAGCTGAAGACCCTCCTTTCTAGGAAAAGAAAGAGAGGATGGCCTAAGAATACATGGAGACGTGAGCTAAAGGCAGACACACAAAATATGGGATACACCTGGAAGCAATTGGAAAGGAAAGCACAGGACCATGATGAGTGGAAAATTCTTGTGGACGCCTATGCCCCAGACGGGTAAAAAGGCATAACACAACACAAGAAGGGTATTGCCTAGATCCACCTAATCACATAGAACCTATGGTGTTGTCTAACCCTATTGATATTTATAAAGCTTATATTAGATAAAATTAAATGGGGCCCTCAGCCCCAGAGCTATGGTTATTATGAGTTCAGTACCCTTCGTTATTTGAATATGGATAATCAAGATTATGTGTATTAAGTTGAAGATCCATCTATTCTTGTAGGAATACTAAGCCTATTGCTATTTAAATAGATTATATAAGGAAAAAAGGAAATGGGGCCCCCGGCTTCAGAAGATGGATATTATGTGTTAAGAACCCTTTGGTATTTAAATATAGATAATCAAATGTATGTATATTAAGTTTAGTCAAGACTCAAGATCCATCTATTCATGTAGCAGTATTTGTTGTTAATTTTATTTATATAGCTCATATAAGAAAAAAAACGAAATCGGGGCCCCCAGATGTGACCGTTCTAAGTAGGCTGTAAGGAATATGTCTGTCAAATTTCAGACTTCTATCTACATGGGAAGTTGGAGAATATAGATCATAAAATAAAAAATAAAATGGGCCCCTGGCCCCAGAGGTATGAATATTATGAGTTCTGTACCCTTCTGTATTTGAATATGGATAATCAAGAGTAAGTGTACTAAGTTTGGTGAAGATCCATCTATTCATGTAGGAGTACTAAGCATATTGCTATTTATTAAGCTTATATAAGGAAAAATGAAAAGGGGCCCCGGCCCCAGAGGGATGGATATTATGTGTTAAGTACCCTTCGGTATTTGAATATGGATAATCAAATGTATGTAAATTAAGTTTGGTCCAGATACAGATATTCATGTAGCAGTATTTGTTGTTAATTTTATTTATATAAATCATATAAGTATTATAAGAAAAAAACAAATCAAAATTCTGGACCCCCGGTTGTGATCGTTCTGGGTATAGTTTCAAAATGGAACCTGTTTAACTTTGTAAGTAAGCTGTAAGGAATAGTCTGCTATATCTCATAAAACATGGACGAATATACAGGAATATGAAAATCATCTTATAAACTTACTTCTTCAAGGGCTTTTTTAATAGCATTCTGTGCAGCTTTGTCATTTTGATCTTCTGCCAGTTCTAGTGCTTGTGTAAATGAGTCTGAGGCTGCCTCATATTCTCCGCATTTGACTGAAATGGTCACATAATATTTTCTTATTATGATTTAATTGTTACGATTTTAACATTATATTTATCTATTTATTTCCTGACTTTTTTAGTAATGCTTTGAAATGAAATAAAGCGCCAATTTAAAAATAAAAATATGCTTTGGGGTGAATATAATTTTACAAGCCCGAAAAAGATTACCAAGGGTAAGCAATAGAAGCAAACACTGTGCATTTGAAAGGTAATATTATTTATTATATCTACCTTCTGATTGAGCAACAAGCACAAAAGAATGAAGCTTCCACCCTGAATCATCAGCTTCCTTGGCAGCGACTAAAGACTTCTCTCCATATTCCTTAGCTTCCTGGTATTCTCCCATCTCTAGGTGACAGCGACCAATTTCATGATACAGCCAAGTGCTCTCCAAGGGAGATTTACTTTTAGGTACTTTCTTTTGCCATCTTGAGATTCAGTAAAGGATGAAAGTTAAAATTCTTGGTGAAATAAAAGAGAGTATATGAAGTATTGGGAACAAATAAAATTAATCCAAGGTAAGGAAATGCTTATAATTCATGGGCACTTAAAGCACATAAAAAGAGGGACCTAGTAATATTATGTATATATTACAAATACAGAGTGTTCAGTTTATTAGGAGCTGAGCACTTAGGTATAGTTAAGTCAAATACAAATATGATTGAAAATCAGTCAGCATAGTGTCCCAGTTATGCAATATAAACTCATGTATTTTAAATCATTTGTTAATTTTCCTCAAATGAATGGGTGCCCTAAGTAACTAGGGTTCCACTATAAGCTGCATTATAGGTGCTACTAAGTATTCAAAGAGTAACTAAAACTAATGAGCTAAAAGGCTATTTTAATTATTTAAATAATATAATAGATAAGGTATTTACAGTGTAGTTATATAGACAAGATGATAGGTTTAAAAAATATGGAGAAAAAAAAAGAACAACAAACATTTCTATAGCTTCTGAAAACTCTCCCATTTTCGCATGTGTTCTGCCTAAATTATCAAGTGCTCTCGATTCAGCTTCTTCAAGATCACTGTAAAAGAAAAAAATAAAACAATTACTTGTTAGAATTATTTTCAGGGCGCATCACTCTACTGAGACAGCCCTGTTGCGCGTCGTAAACGACCTTCTGTCGTCTTGTGATGAGGGCCGGGTATCGATTTTGTCTTTACTTGATTTATCGGCAGCTTTCGATACGCTCGACCACGGCATACTGCTCCAGCGTCTGCAACAAACGTTCGGTCTCACTGATACCGTCCTGTGTTGGTTCCGATCGTATCTGAATAATCGGGTCCAGTCAGTTATTTCAAACGGCTTGACCTCGAAGAAATCTAATCTCGAATTCGGAGTACCACAGGGCTCGGTCCTAGGCCCGATGCTTTTCACGATGTACATTCAGCCCCTGGGTGCAGAGATCAGGCAGTTTGACATGTTGTATCACATGTTCGCGGACGATACACAACTTCATCAATCCGTGATCACTTCTCAGTTCCCTCAGCTGCTCAGTATGACACAGAAGACAATGGAGTCGGTTAAGCACTGGATGACCATTAACAAGCTCAAATTAAATGATGATAAGACTGAGCTGCTCCCCATTGCGACCGCTCAGAAGCAGAAATCTGCAAATAACACGACATCCATTACTCTCTCAGGTGTACGTATTGAGTTAGCTCAAACAGTGCGGTACCTGGGTGTCTACCTAGATAGAAGACTAACTTTTGAAAGTCATATTAACATGCTATGCAGGGCGATTTTTCTGGAGCTGCGCAGGATTAGTCACATCAGGCCCTTCCTAACAATTGATACAACAAAGAGGCTGATGTCTGCATTTGTGCTATCACGCATGGACTATTGCAATGCTCTCATGGTGGGTCTTCCAGCTACGCTCCTGGATAAAATTCAAATAGCACAGAATAATGCGGCTCGCATTGTTCTCCGCAAACGCAAGTTTGACCATGCAAAAACACTTCTGAGAGAGCTGCACTGGCTGCCAGTGCGTGCTCGCATGGAGTACAAAATCGCAACTTTGTGCTACCGCTGCTTACATGACCTGGCGCCGTCCTATCTGAAAGAGCTGCTGACGCCTTATGTACCCACTAGAGAGCTCCGCTCATCCGATAGTGGCAAACTCTCGACACCACGTGTTTGCCTTGAGACTTACGGAAAGTGCACTTTCGCATTTGCTGGTCCAACAATTTGGAACGCCCTTCCTGTCGATCTCAAAAACAACCAGACACTGGAGTCCTTAAAAACCGATCTAAAGACACATCTATTTCGCAAATACCTTCTGGGATGATTGTCTACCTTATTTTCCAGTTAATGCATAATGGCTGTGTTGCTCGGGTTGAAATGGCTAGAAAGACTTTGAGATTGTATGCTTGTAATTAGTTTTTGTAGTGTTGCGTTTGTTTTAAATGTGGTTAATTATAGATATGTTTTTTGTTGACTTTGTACCGCGCTTCGAGCCTTTGGGGATGAATCGTGTTTTTGAAATGAACTTTATTATTATTATTATTATTATTAAATTTGTAAACGTTTGTACCTAACAAACAAAATTAAATGTAACATGATACAGTGTAGGTGAATGTAGGGTCTTCAAAGTTTTAAAGCAAATTAAATTTTTTTTTGGCTTTGGAATGTGTCAGTAACTTATAAAAATTTAATTTGGTGGCTTGTTACTCAGATAAACAAATGTTCAAACTAACAGATGCGGCTTGTTTAAATTACAAAAAAATTATTAATAATACTTGAGCCTCTTTCTACCTTACAACTAAACATGTCATGCATAGCAGCAAAACTAAAAAGCTACAACTGGGCTTTAACACAGAGATGGGAATCTTGCTGAATCTGAACTAAAACACACTGAACTAAAATCCTGCTGATGACTGAATCAAATCCAACCTAAACTCTGTTGAAGTTAGAACATGAACCAAACCAAAACCCAGCTGATGAAAAAACTTGCATCAAACCCAAACTTCAATTTTACTGAGTACAAACCAACCCAAATGAACCTTTTGCAAACTTATTATGACCGACAATGGTTTGCGAATGTTGCACAACACTACTTACGCCAGAAATGCTCATATTTTATTTAAAAATAGAAAAACGAAAAGATGATTTTATGTAAATCAAAATCATCTTTTTATTTATCATCCCCTACCCATCTCTTCCATGCCAACACCCTTTCACGAAAAGCTTAGCTTGTATTAATGGTTGACAAATTAAAAAACAGATTGTAGCTAACTCTTTTTCATCCAGTGTCAGCAATATTAGAATTTTGAAATAATCTTATATACTCTTCTTTTAAATAAACATAAAGCATTAAAATTAAACCCAACACAAATTTATGTGTAGACTAATGATGTGAAGATGAGACATTTGACAGTTTTAAATGTACCTATGTATGGGTTTTTAAACTCAAGGAAATGCAGGTATTGAGGACTGTAGCCTTTCTTTGGTTCTTAGAGTGTTTTATTAAAAGGGGTGGTAGAAGAAAATGTTCCAATAAATATGAGACAAAGAAAAACCCTGAGAAAAAGTGTAAGAAAAAGGCCAATACAAAGCATCCAAATGAGCCAATGAACAATGGCACACACTAGGGATGCAATTAAAACTTTGACTGCCAAAGCACATTCGCATGCTCACTATTAATAGGGTCGCGTGAGCCTACCAGGGAGCAACTACATGACACATCCAATGACAAGTCTATTATTTGACTTCTGGTACATTTTCTATGGTAAATTGACAGTTCCTAGAGGCTCCAACCTGAATAAAAGTCAAAACCCCAAACCAAAAACTTATATGTGTCTTTTCACATTTAATCTCAGCTATCTAAGATACACTTCTATATTTATGTAAGTGTAATGGTTTTGGAGATATTTTAAATAGAATGGTTTGGGACCCCACCCCATGAATGAGTGTGAAAACTCCCTTAATTACTTAATATTACAAAGTAGACTTGCAAATATACTAAGGTATAGAGAATAAAATCCACTTTCCCACAAGATATAATTTATAGTATAATGCTCTAGGGTTCCCGAGAAATAAATGATTGAACTTATACAAAAAGCACACATAGTGGTTTTCTATCTCTAAGCATTTTAAGCAGTGGGGGAGAAGCCGTTCATGCCATGTTGTGATAACCTAACCCATAGGTTGAATTCCACAACAGTTTTGGGTGGTGAATGCTTAGTTTTGTAACAGCATGGCCTGCAATGTTACATATGTTTCCCAATTTTTTTTTTAATGTTAGCTACCAACTCCTACAATCCCAGTATACTATGATAGCCAAAGATAATGTATTCTCCAACTTTTTAGTGCAATTCTATAGTTCTGTTTTAAATGCATATTTTAAAAAAAAATGTAATATATCTTTTATTTTATTTAAATTAAAAGCAAACTAATTTCAAATTGCAATAATTACCAAATGCGACAAATTTCATATTGTTCCTAAACAAAACCTGAGTTTTAGTTGTTACAGAACTGAAACAAACTTGAACTTAAGTTGTTACCAAACTGAACATTAACTTACAAAAGAGGCTTCAATCCCAATCCCTACTTTGAACACTATGAAGCCCATCAAGTATTATTGTTACATTTCTAGGTTTAGAATACCAAAAAGATTATTTATCAATACTAATAGATTATATATTATTTTATTTAAAGTTGCAATGAACTATTACATCTAGGGATGATAGAAGTAAAGCACATCATGTCATGTGCCTGGATGCCTTGCATACCAGAATGACACTGGCTGCTTTCTCTCTGCTAATTCTTTCAGTGCAGTTACTATTACATTTTTTTATCTTAAAGACGTTATGGATCGTACGCATGAGAATTTCATAGTTAAAACTAAAAGCACATGGACATAATATGCAAACTTTGCACCTCTAAAGGAGAAATAGTTTATCAAGTTTGGATTTTTTTTAAAATTGTCTGTGCTTTCTGTTTCCACTTCTTGACATATATAATTTGTCAAGTTTAAGTTAGAAGTGATGATGCCATGAAAGGGTTACTCACTTGTCTTTGGCAATATTCAAATCCTTGTTGTGATATTCAAGAGCTTGTGAATATTTGCCCATTTCTAAATAGGCATTTCCCATGGAACTGTACAAATTAGCTATAACATCTGGTTTATTCTTGAGAGAGCCTTCAGGCATATTATCAACTCTCTTCAATGTGTGTTTGCACTTATCCAAACTTTCTTGGTATCTTCCTTGTGACTGAGCTGGGAAAGCATAAATTGGATTTTGTTAGTATTTTTGGCAATTTTTGATATATTTATGCAAAAGCCAAATTAAGGATTATGAACCTTTTAAATACTACATTAATTCTTCTTTCTAAATGGTTAACAATTATTAAATAACTCATCAAAGTTCAGTATAGTTACTAATAGCCATATATCTAAAGCTAATCATAAATTGGTACTACCTTCATCAATTTCTTCTAATTTTTGAAGAACATATTTCATGGGATCAACCCCTCTAGGACCTGCGGATCCCTTAGCTGACCTTGACTGTTGATCTCGCTTTCGTGCATACATAGGCTTTTGCTGTCGCCAGAAATCTGACCTACTATTAAGATATTCCAATCCATCACAGGCACGTCCCTTAATGAATTCTTCTGTCCGACTGTTATTGTTAGATAAACCTGGTAATTAAGACCATGTTTTTAATAAATAGAAAAAAAAATTTCTTAAAAGACTTTTAGTTTTAATTATACAATTTTGAAATATAATTAAAGTTTTTACAGTAATTTGAATTGGATAGTGTGAAAGTATAAATAAAAATGAATTCTGTTTTATTTTTAGAATTGATCAATCAATCTTACTATCAAAAAGTTTTTCCAAATATTCTTTATCTTGATAAAGTTGTCCAAGTAATTCTTTTGTTGTTTTGGAATTACTATTTTCTTGGGGCCGTTGTCTCTCCTTCTTTTCCTCTTTTTTAGGTTGCTGATTAATCTTTGTGTATCCTTTCTGCTGCTTTTTCTGTAGGTGTAAAAACAACAATAATAATATATTTCAATACATTATACTATCAGACAATTCATAGTCAAATATGGTGCATTTATAATATATGCAAAATTCAAAAGGTTCAATCAAATTTCATTGTTTACAAAATGGTATTGTTTCAGGGTACACTGATTTACCACCTCACATGGGATTACAAACACTTATCTTTTTGTGCATAGATCATAACATGATGTTTATTGGATATAATTCTGAGTTTCAAAGTGTTAAATCATGTTTCCAAAGTATTGTAGGCTAGCATTTTATATTGCTAAGATCTTCTGCTTAAGAACATTTTTTTTAAAATTTTTTATTTTAATAATTAATTAGGCTACATGTTTAAAATCTGTTTTGAGAATTTCAATAAATCAACAGTGTAACTTTAAATAATTAGGCTACACATATTGTTCTGTTTTTAATAATACATTTTGTGGTCATACACTGAAAAACATAATTAGCCTCATTGAAATCTATCTGAATATTTAAATTTAGCCAGATTTTATATTTGTAAAATTTTAGTTGATCTTCCAGGTGTTAAGTATTCAATACAGTATGTTACACTTAGCCCTTTACCACACACAAAATTATTTCATTTGATATAATATACAGAATAGACAAATTATTGATCTGACACACAACTTTACAATGAGCCTTAAATGTTATCCTCACATAAGGTATCAACTATTTAAGGGGTAGAGGAAGCTAAGGTAGGCTACCTACTAAATTAATTAAAGAAAATTGGACAATAGGTTCAATTCAATCATTTAAATTCTTCTACATACACTTTCTAATATTTTTTAAAATTTCTTTCAGGTTTCAAATACAATATAACTAAACTGATGATAGGGGTCATTGGAAAACTTATTAGATGTTGCCACTAAATGAACTTCAAGACAATCAATCTGTTAAGAAAGCTGCAGATGAAGAACAAATTCAAAGTTTTATATATTTAATATGTTTTAAATTAGAACTTCTTGGAGAACAAAGAAGATTTTATAACTTTATTTAATAAATTTTGTTTAGGTTGTGATATAGCATTTCAGATTTGTTAAAGTTAGTTAGAAACAAAGGGATGCATGTTAAGTATATTATTTCGATGTTAACTTAAATACTTGTAGCCAATAAACAAGTTACTTTTGAGGCAGTGACAAAATTTAATGCTGTTTTATCCAAAATTAAAAAATCTTCCCAAAAAAAACCAAACAACTATTTAAAAGCAATGCACTTTTTAAAAAATTCCAAATTTTAAGAGAAATTATAATAATAATACAAATTTAGCAAAATAATATGGAGCTTATTGGTAAGAATTTAAAAACTTATTTCATGACAAGGTTTTTAATATAAAATTTCAACTTAGTACTGTATCAGAAAATGTATTCATAAGAGAAATAAAAGGAACTTTTTGTTTTTTAGAAAAAAGCTTCCAAAATATTTTTTTTTATCAAATACATACACAATCAACCAAATCAAAATTGTATTAGTTGAATAAAACCAGAATTTAAAATTCTTTATAACTTTAATAAAAAAAAAATCATGGCACTGAAAGTCAGATCAACAGGGTAGACTAATTTAACTCATTTTTGGAAGATTTATAAAATATCTACTTTACCTTATTTTGTGAATTCTGAAAACATTTTTGTTTTAAAAGTTTTAGAAAGCACAAAGAATAAAACAATACAATATAATTTTTCTGTGTGCTTAATTTTTTCAAGCATAAATTGTTAAACCTAGGCATAGTACTGATGAGGGAAAAGGGGGAAGGGGGTTCCTGTGCTGAACTTTTATTAGGGGGTGGGGCATTTTTGGTCCATTTCAAATACTATGTATGGATTATGTTTGATTTGTATTCTGTATTTTTTGTGAATAATGAGTGGCAAAGTTAATGACCAAGATACTGGGCTGAGATCTATTATTATAAATTATTGTCAAAACCTTAAAAAGAAAAAGAAAGATTTGGAAAAAGCTTTAAGACAATGATTCCCAATTTAGGTACTGATTGACTCAAAACTTTTACTACTCTATTTGAAAGTCAATTCTTAAATTTGGCTTTTTAAAATTAAGTGATTTTAGAATATAAAACTATACCATTGATATATTTTCAAAATATTATTTTATGCCAATCATTAAAACAAACTAAATACACTGATTCAATTTGAAATTTAGGATCAAGCAAGAAGTCAGGGTTCTGTAATCCTTTAGCTAGATGTCTGTAATGATACAAATGCACCAGAGCATTGCAAATATAAATAATATAAGAACAATTCAGCAGAACAGCTGCTTTTTTGTAAGATAAGGATAGTAAATAAAAGGAAGACTCCACCACTTTGCTTTGCAACATAGAATGTAAGAACCATGTGTCCTGGATTTTTCATGGACCTAAAACAGATTGACGACATGAGAAAGACTGCTGTTATTGACAAAGATATCACCAGACTCAAAATTGACATTGCTTGCCTCCAAGAGACCCCACAAGCAGATAGTGGTACCATCAAGGAAGACTACACATTTAACTGGCAGGGGAAACCCACAGATGAACCCAGTCAGCATGGTGTTAGATTTGCTATAAAAAACACACTCATGGCTTGTATTGAGCCTCCATCATTGGGATCAGAGAGGATTCTGCACCTGCAGATGTCATCTGCTGCAGGAAAGGCTATCATATTCATTGTGTAGGTTCCACCTCTCCATTTGAATCCAGCGGAGAAAGATATGTTCTATAAGGCCCTAGATCAAGAATTTTACTGTGTTCCAAACACTGTAGCATTATAGATTCTGGTAGACTTTAATGCTAGTGTGGAAGCTGAACAGGAAACCTGAGCTAGATGTCTTGGTTATCAAGATTAGGAAGGATTAATGATAACTGACAACTGGAGTTGTGCTGCTCCCATGGTCTCTGTGTTACCAACACCTTCTTCAAGTGCAAAAAAATAAATCCATGTTGCCATCACTGGCATCAGCTAGACCTCCTCATCACTAGAAATTGGGAGCTGGCAAGTTTACTTCACACTAGCAGCTTCCATAGTGCTGACTGTGTCATGGACCATTCTCTCGTGGCAAGCAAATTATGATTGATGCCAAATAAATTGCATCATGCTCAAAAGTGGTGTGGTCCACGCAATAACATCCACTGCTCAATCATCTCAGAAAAAAACGCAGTCGTTTACGAGTGAGTTACAGGATGCCCTTGCAAAGGGGTCACCTGTTGATGCTTAAGACTCAATGTGAACTCATTTACAAAATATTTTGTACAATCAGCCATCCTTGTCCATGGGAAAAGGGAGCATACAAATAATTATTGGTATGAGATGCATTGGAATAAGATAGACGCCGTGACTAAGAAATATTAAAAGCCCTACTTGCCTACATGTATTTAGGCTCGTACACTGCAGGCTCTCAGGTCTTCAAAAAGAAAATCCAAGCAGACTGCCTGCAACTGTACAACACTTAATTGTTGGATCTTTGCAATTGTATATAAATGGGTTCTGAAAACGGGAATGCAAAGGGTATGTAAGTCCATACATTTCAAAAATCCCACACTGAAGTTCAAACCATGTCAAGTTATCATGACCCCAAACAATAAGTTCGGCATTGGGTTAATAAAGGCGACTGCAACAATCGTAATAATACTGAAAACTTTATCTTCTCAGGCTTAGTGGAAACGACTTTTGCCCATGACACCCTTAAACAATTACAGAAACTTGCCAACATCACATTGTGGTTTCCAATGTGGCTGTTCAACTATAGACATATTTTTGTTATGCAACTTGCTGAAAGATGTTGTGAACAGCATAAGCATAGACCTCTCAACATTGCTTTCATAGATCTGACCAAGGATTTCAACTTAGCAAGATGGAGTGGTCTGTTCAGTATCTTGCATAAAAATGTATCCCCCTCGCCTACTAACAATCATACAGTCATTTCACAAAATCATGCACAATAACTTTCAATGGCACAATCTTTGAGGCATTCCCAATCAGCAGTGGAGTGAAACAAATTGTCAATGCTTATTCAGTTTGCCTTGAAACACTGTGAATAATCTAGCTCAGCTTGAAGATAAAGAGAAAACCTAATATAATTTAGGAGGGCTTATAATCCAGATGGCATGAAATTATTGGATGCTATGACAGGAGATTATAAGATTATAGGCTGAAGTGCATTTTGTTAAACAATTAAAAAAAAAATTTCATTGCTAAAGAACAAAATTAAGTGCAGAAAAAAAAATTTAAATGAAAAAGGTCAAGTAGAATTTTATTTTTATGCACCTGACAAGACACAGAATTTTGTATATAATATTGTCATCTAATTTCAGATTTGACATTAAATGCTTAAATATAAATTAATAGAAAATATGAAAGAACTCACTAAAAAAATGAAAGTACATATAAATGCCATTACAGCAAATTTTATAAAATAAGAATAAAAAGTAAATCTACAAATTGGCTTACAATATTTAATGTATTCATACACATCTTGCTCTATAAGAAATTTATTGTGTTTTAAAAAAATAATTTATCCTGACTATTCTTAAATTCTATTGACTGATTTCTTGTAGCAAGTTACAAAATAAAATTTCTTGTACATAAAAAAATTATTTCAAATGTCCATCAGATTAGATATATAATATTCAGTTACGATTGAAAATGAATAAATAAAAATGAATTTAGATGCTTAGACAAACTTTTGCATTACAGATAAACTGAAAACTGACGGTATGGATGCATTAACTTGGCTAAGTTTTTAAAAATGGACATGTAGTATATGTAAATAAAATTATGAAAAACATTTTAGAACATGCAGGAAATCTATGATTATGGTCAAACTTACCTCATTTTGCTTGTAAAAATAGGATAAATCTCCTGAGGCTTCTAAATGGACAGCTCCAGGACCTGATTAAATAAGAAGCACAAAGATATTTAAATCACTACAAATATATCTTCTAATATACCTAAGGCCTTCCAATTTATTTACAGTACATGTCATGCAGTGATATCATTAGGGTTGGTGTCACCCAGTGGGGTAAATTCATGGTGTCACCCCCCTCCAAAATTGCTAATAGACTTTGGTGAAAATTTGATCTGGTGACACCCTTTTCTTTTATTTAACTTTGATCTGTCATGAATTCTTCTAGGAAAATTCTTTCAAATTTGAAATTTTCCATTTCACCCCCTGTGAGGGTTTCACCTGGTGCAGTCCAAATCCCTCACACATCTCTAATGAGCTACTGTGGTCCAATGTTCCCTCTAAGGTTTGTTGGTTTGTGTGCAAAATCATAAAGTTGTGTGCAAATTTTTACAGCATCCATTTTTTTGTGCGCAAAATTTTCAGCCTACAGACACAAAAACACACTTAAGTGGAAATTAGCTGCGAGGTACTCAAAACTGCTGCGCGGTCTGTGAGATTGCTGCGCGGCTGCACAGCTTAAAGGGAACATTACTGTGGTCATGTATAAATAATCCCTATATTCTCAATATAATTCTATAATAACTTTGTGTGTACAATTCATTAAATAAAATAAGCTCAAAATTTCATGAGTATATATACATACTTCCAATACTGTTGTCTATAGCTTCCTCACACTTTTGAATGCCCAGACGAAACTCTTGTAATTCTGGTCTCAACTTATTCCCTCTATGGTAAAAGACTAGAGCACTTTCAAAATCTCCCTTCTGATATAATGCTTCAGCTTTCATGTTTAATGCCTAAAAAGCAAGTGGACATATTAAAGTACCGTTTTTATTGCTCCCCGAAAATAGGGGGCAAATCATGTGTGTGTGTTATACGCCGATATAATGTTTAGTTTTTTTTCCTGAAATTTCCTTCTTAAATTGAGGTGCGTGTTATATGCGGGGGCGTTTTATACGCCAATAAATACGGTAATCATTTATTGGCTTTATATGCAAACCCTTATTTCTAATTAGTTTCTATATTTGAATACTTGTATAACATAATAGTATAGTATTTTATAATAAGGAACAAGGAAAAGGAAGAATTTTTATAGTTTTTAAGTTATATCTTATATCATATAGTGAACATTTAAAAAAAAATAAAGTAATTGCAGATAAAAAATTTAAACAAATTCTAGTAGTTGTATATTTCTATCATAAAATGGATTTTAATATTTATAGATATTTAACAAATGCTTTAAAATGTATACCCTGATTTCCTTTTTTCCATCCTCATTTTGTTCTAAAGCTGACTCTGCATCTGCTAAAGCCTTTTCTGCATTTCCAAGCATAAGATAACATTTAGCCCGTACAACTAAACATGTTTTATCTCCTCCCTTCATTTCAAGAGCCTGTATAAAAATAAATGGTATTTCAAAGGGTATCTTATACTCAGGGGTGGACTGACATGGAGCATGGGTCACATCTTTTTGGGCTCACATGACAGTCACTATCAGCTACAAAAAAATATTTTTAAAAATTTTTTCTCGCCAATTTGAATAGCTCTTAAAGTTAAAGAAGACACTTGATTATAGTTTGGGAGAAATAAATAACAAAATTTATAAAAGAGATCAAATTTATCAAAAGAGATCAAATTTATCTGGAAAAAAAAGAAACATTTATGCTGATGAACTGTGAAACAGACATAACAGCAACTTTTTAGTTGGGCAAATAATTAATGGCCTGGAAAATCTATAAATTACTGGAATATCCTTAAATACCTGTAATCAATTCTATGACATTAATTTTGTCAATTCTCAATTATGGTTTTTCCAATTTTTTTTCCAAGATTTTTGAAACTGTATGAATATAGCTTATGCATTTATATTTTCTATAGTCTATAGGCTATTAATATTACACTATTAGTCAATATTACTACTTTTTAAAAAAATGAAAAATTAATACGTTTTTTTTCAATTTAATCTTTTGCCTTTCTTTATACCCGAGACCTGGGCCGGTTAAAACATTCCCCATAAATTATAAATGTTCAACAAGTAACATGGCCCGGGTTCTATTCATTTAGGCCAGACTTTGTTACACTTGGTGACTTTACTTATTACTTATACTTTGTCTACAACTACAGAGGCAGTAAATTTACAGATTTTATTTCAGAGTTTCCTCTAAGTCTAATCTAATTCTATATATTTTCGTTTAAATAACTTTCGTCTGTGCAGTATTAAGATAGCAAAACTTATTTAATCAGTAAGAATGTGAACACAAAAAAATGAAAGAGATAACCTTTGTGAAGCTTTCTATAGCTTTTTCGTATTGTTTGACATGGACGAAATGCTCTCCTTCGTCACGAAGGGTTTCAAATGTACCAACAGTTCCTGGGTCGTCGGTTCCTGCATCACTATCATTATCCTTTCTCCCACGCTTTGGAGCGTTTTTTCCAGGCTTACTCATTTTTTCTCTGTTACTGAATACCAACAGTCATATGTTCCTACTGTGGATGGAGAGATTATATTGTTATATTTGTTCACGGGCACTTGCTTCTATCTGTTGCCATAGGACACAAAACGTAAAGCCACGATTGATGTTGTTTCGTATTTATACATCGACCCATTTACAATTTTACAAATTATTATAAATATTTCAAAATCTTATAGAACGGGTTAGAATGTTTTATATTAAATGTATTGATTTTCTCTGCTATTCGCTGTAAGATGTTTAATTGAATTTATTTTAAAAAATACTGGGTTTCCTTAATTATGCGTTCTTAACAACGCTAAGGGAGATTACTCAATACCAAACGAGGGATCCTAAAGATTTAATTATAGTGTTAAAAATTGCTAGAATCATATCGATGCATTGGCGAAAAAAAAAAAAAAAATCCTGAAATCACCATCTGACCATGATAATTAGTAATTAGAAACACTGAACGACAAAAGTCATTATAATTTGAAACGGTAAAAAAATATAATTATATCATTCATTAGTGTCATTACTCATTCATTAAAATACAACATTACAAAAGTAACTAACAAATGCTTTGACTTTGCATCTAGAACTAGTAAGCCTAGGCCTAACTACTATTACTACTATGAAGCCTACTGAGGAAAATCACATTTGCTTTTTGAAGCTTTAACTTTACCAATTCTTAATTTAGGCATATGGCTGTGAATCGTACAATATTAGTTTTAGTAATATTAATTTTTTTTTTAAAGATAGGATCATAAACCTGACAGCAGTTCCCATGCCATGGTCATAGACCTACTACACTACATATTAAATATTTATTAATTTTTATAGTGTAATATAGCATATAAATTAAATCTGATTTTTGCAATTATATATGAATTTAGACACCAGACGCCAAACTGACTGACGATGGATATACATGAAGGATTCGGCCCACAAGAAGAAACAAGTGAGAAACCACCAAGTAATTATGATGAGTTTTTGAAAGCTGAAGGAATAGTGAGTAATTTTCAATTGATGTAATTTTACCTAAACACAACCTTAGAACATTCAGTCCAAACTTTATGTTTCAATAAAATGCTTATAATTATATTTATAACCTTATTGAGACATGCGCACACCTGTTTCTTTTGAAAAAAAAAAAAGTTTCCAAACTCATTCATTAAAGATAAAGTTTTCTATTGTTTTCAAGCAGTGTCTTGCAAAACACTGATGAAGATTTTACAGTAGGATCACATGAATTTGATGTGAAATAATAGAAATTGATGTAAAAACATATTTGCATATATAATCTGAAACATACCTTAAGACCAAAATTATCTATATTTTTAAAATTCATTCTTGAATTTTGTGTTGCAGGATTTAAGATAGTTTTTGACCTGGAAAACTAATAATTTGGGTTTCTCATTAATAATCTATTATTTGGAAACTTTCCTTCCCATCATTTCTGCAAGGCATACATGGATTTCCCTAGAGTTGGCTATACAGCTACATGCAGTTGACATCACAGCATTGATGAGCACAGAAAACCCTTTTTTATATTTGAAAAAATCATCGCTAATTAAAAATTTTCAAAGTTGGCCCATATTTTATCTTCATTTAATCTATTGTGAAAATTAAAATTTTGTTTTTACGTACAGACAATTTTAGTGACTCATTTTTCAAACAACCTTTACTCAACCAAAAAAAAAATAAATTGTTTTTAAAAAGACATCTAATTGGATCTACACAACTGACTTTCTATTATAAGCTGTTCAATACTTAATTTCAGAGTGATTGGCCATTCCCCATGAGCCTAGAACAACCACTGGATATTCAGTCAGAGGGGCTCTTCATGGGAACTCAGGAGAACATTTTTAACATATTAAAAGCATCAGCACGTATCCTTATGATGATTTAGATTTGATTTCATCATTATTGTAAATAAAGTAAAATTTAAAAAATTAAAATACATTTTCTTGTTTCAAATCTAATTTAAAATAGAAAATAAAATTTGTATAGTATAACTATCTAAACAAAATTTTATTCCCAAATGACCTTAATTAATGATCTCCAGCTCTGGGATTACATATGTTAGAAGAGATGGAAAAGAGATTAGATGAGTTAGACAATACTCTGTATTACTTTACAAATCAAGTACTTACTGATGATAAGAGAATATCAAGGTTAGCAGAGGGACTTTTCCATTCTCCATCAAAGAGTAGGTGATGAGAAAGAATGTAGTTTGCTTACAATAAAATTATTTGTCTTTATCATTAAAAATTATCAACAAGCAGATGCTCAATCTTTACACTCTGATCACATAAATAGTTTTAATTATTTTGAAAGATTTCTTAAATAAAAGTTTAAAGAAAATATTTTCTGTTCATAATTAAGAGATTTCATTGTTTGTTGCATCTTTTCTCATTCATCTTGACTGATTTTGTTTAGTTCATCTTGATAGAGCTACATACAGAAAGATAGGCTAATTCTTGTACACTATCATGTTCTCAAAAGATAATCTGTAAGCAAGCATAAATCTGTATACATTTTGAAGCTCATTTATGCTTATAACTCCAGTCACATACATTTCACATAGAGGATAATTCACATCATTGTTTTTTTTAGTTGATTTCTTTATCAAATATAATTATGTTTAGAATATCGCCATGTTGCTATTTTAGGGGTTTAAATAAAATATGTAAATAAGATTTTATATTTATTGCTTAGAGGGTTTAAAATAAAAGTCAAAATCATTTGGCAGTTTAAAAAATCATCATTCTTGGTGGTGCCTGAATTTTAATGCATTCTGTCACATTTATGTTTTCATAAAAAAAGAAGAATAGTGTTGTGGGGCACTTTCCCATGTTCTGGCCAATGTCAAAGTTACCTAAGAATGCCCATCAATGATGTTCATAACTATTCTTTGCCCATACTTTTTTTTATTTCCATAGCATTTCTTACAGATGGATCTGAGCCTTCCTCTGTAAAATCAAACAGGCATTCCCTGGTCAACAAAAGCATTGTAAGCAAGATTCTATATGCAACATTCATTTAAAAAATGTTTTCTTTCTTTTAATTATCTAAGTTATTTTTCAAAATTATGATCAATTTTTATTTACATTTTATTATCAGCTTATAAAAGACATTTGAAAAAATTAATGGTATAGGGTCTTGTGGATACTATGATGGAGTCAAGAAAAAGGAGTTTGGAATACTACCAGTTTCCAGGCTTTGTACAAGGAGAACTGATTGAACTTCCCTCTCAGTTAGAGGCTCCACCTATTCTACATAGAATAACAACAGCTCAGAATTTTAATGTAAGAAATGTAATAGTTTAAAAATACTAGCCTGCTTATATTTTCAATGGATTTATAGTAAATGATTGTTAACTTAAAGTTTGTGCAAATTTGTTTTAATGAAAGTACTTAAATGAAACCATGACATACAAAACATTACATTTTTTCTTGTTGATTTAAAGACATATGGCAGGCCATTTAAATGATTAAATTCTCCTGCCAAAATGAAAACATATTAATTATATCCTTCTTCATGTTTTACAGCCTGGATTTAGAAAGTTCTGGAAAAAAGTATTCCTTTCAGAAGCTTCCTCTGCCATTCTTCAAGACACATTTTGGTGGATTTTCTTAGACAAGTTCAACAAAGAGGTAAAGCTTAGTATGTCAAAACTTCTATGAAGCAGCTTCACACATTTAATTTATTAACTTCTTCAAGACACAATCATGTATGCCAGATTTAATGGTCTTAATATTTTTAACAGGAAGGTTTACAAGAAGACAAAGACTTTCTTTTTGACAGAATTGCAGACAGTTATGTAGCTCTCTTTACAAGCATCAACGCAGATGTGAAAGACAAATTCCTTTCTGTAAGCAATTACAAATTAGATAATTAGGCAAAACACTAGCTCTTGATATCCAAATGTTAAAATAAAAAGCTTATTAAAGTATGATAATTATTGGAAATGATCTAATTCTATTCATATTGGTTTCTTGTTTTTAGCTGCCCTATAATTTCTTTCTTTTTTAAAGTCATAACTTATCATCCATCTGCTTTCAATCCTACATTTTGTTTTAGTAAATAGTTCAACTCTTTGTTCAATATTTCTCTTTCTAATAAAATGGTGCAACTTGAATTCAGGTATATCCAAACTGTCTAGCTCAAGCACTGTACTGCACATACAGAAATGCCTTTCCAGAATCTAAATGGAAATTTAATGATGAATTTAAGCAATATTTGGTGAATTTAATCTATGAACTAGTAACAGGTAAGTTATTCCCAAATACTTAAAATATTAAACTAACATTCATCTTAGAAGATTAACAAATTCTTAATAATTTTTTAAAGAAGTATATTTCCAGCAAAGTTAAACCATTCTGCGTATTTGGTATTTTGAGTTAATGTGCTTCAATACACATATATTATTTTTTGCAACTTTTATTTTCATGAGGCTTAAGGCCCACTCCTGGTGTGTGGAAAACATGGAATGAAGAAAGCCTGGAGCAAAACAAGACATTTAGAGAGAATGAGACAGCCAAAGTCTTGGAAGCTGCTGGTCTTCACCAAAAAGGTGAAAAAAGATTTATTGTTTTGAAAGAAAAGTAAATTAATTGATTTAGGGTATTAATTTCATTAATCATTTTTTTTAAAATAACAGTTGAATATAGAATTAGTTATATAAATCCGTCTTCCTGAATCTCATTAAATGATACATTTGAAAAAATTGTCCCCAACTTGGATTTCAGTTAAGATTACTAAAAAATAGCCCATTATAAAAAAAAATGTAAACATTTTCAAAAATTTGACATAACCTTGGAAAAAAAATACATAGACATCACTATTGACCAGTCAGTTGATGAATGTGACTTGTGGAAATAAATGCTTATTGAGAAAGATAATCACAAAGCCAAAAACAAAAAAGTTATCCTTTTGTTACTTAATTTAGAATTGAATCTGGATATGGATGGTTTTTCTAAAGTCATTGACAAACTTGGAGCAGAAACTGCAGTACAGCAACAAGGCCAGATAATAAGAGAGACAACAAAGTTGACAGGGCAGTCAAATGTTAAAGCTCACCTTGAGGTAGTTTATTTTAAAAATGCTTAAAATCTTTTTTATTTTGATGAAATAAACTTCCCAGGGATAAAATTGAAAAAAGAAATAGAATTAACAATGTTAATTTTATTTCATGCCAACAGCTTAATAATAATTTTTTTTTAGTCACACCAAGTGGGTCCAGGTCCAGAGTACGAGAGAGTCAAGTTCAATACTTCTGGACGAAGCCCATTAATAGCTCACTACCTTCACATGCGACAACTGAGGGACTACAAGCAACCAGGGATGAAAGTTAGAAGGACTGAAATCTTAAAACTTCCATATCCTTTACTTAATTGATCTACCATATGTCATATAGAATAAATTAATATATATTCTGATATTGAAAAGGAAGAATTCATGAACAAAAACTTAAGCTGACTTTAGATGACATAAATCCTTATAATTTTTCACACATTACTTTCTAGACTGTTTTGTTGGGTTCAAGGGTATGCCTAACAGGAGGACTTAATTTTAATAAATGACAGAGGGTTTTGCGCTGCTGTAAGGATATGTGAGTGTAAAACCAATTTTAGCATTGTCCATTTTATTTGTATTAATATTGTTTAAGAGTCCAATCCATCTTATGATTTATCAGTTATAATCTTGACTTTGATACACCCGAAGGCCCCACATATCAAGAGTTTATTGCTGAAACGCTGAGCAAAGCAGATGCATTAAACAAAGAATATTCAAGGTGAGATGATTTTTTTCAGCAACAAATTTGTAGATATGGACAGCCTTTTATGACATATATTTGTGCTTAAAACATGGGACCATGGCATAACTAATTAACTGAGTTACTTGTCTTTTCTAGAAATGGGATTTCTATGGTTTTGAAATTTATCATTATAGTGGTTTTCAGATTAAATGTACACATTTTTAAAAATAATTTGAGATATTGAATCAGTTATGTCATACAATGAGTAAGTGTAACATGCAAACCAAATAATGCAGAGATTATGTGAGCATTGACAATTAACTGTGGTTTTTATTTCCTTTTGTTTTCTATTAGAGTATGTGAGAAGACAGAAGCTGAAATACTTGATTTAAACAGGAAGCAGCGAGACACAAACCATCAAATAAATAAAGTGAAGAGAGCTTTCAATGATGCTAAGACTCTTCAAGAAAGACAAAACCTTATAGATAAATTGTATGAGGTAGGTAATTTTATTAAAAATTGTAACCCCAACCATCTTTTAAAAAAAAAATGAAGGCATTCATGTTGTTTGCAATCAGTCACCCTCATCTGTAGTATATAAACACACTTTGGTGTTGAAATACAGTTGGTTTCTAGACAATGCAGTATACTTTATTTCAGAACACTCTTATTTTTAAACCATAGTTCATAACATGAACACTTTGATTTCAAGTTTTGTTTCGTTAACTGTCACTACTAATTTATAATCTTGATTTCAAGATCCAATGAGTGGTTAAGAAGTGGTGCAGGGTTAGTCAGCCCACTTAACTCTATTTTACAGCATATTATTAACCCAAACAATTTGAAAACAGGAAATGAACTCTAAGGAGTTAACCCCATCAGGACCAACAGCCAGATCTGATAGCCGACTAAGTGATGAACCTGAAGATATCTGATGCAGGAAAATTGACATCTATAAACATTTAAAGGTTAAAACTATGTTTAAAATATTTAGTTTTTACTTCTGATGTATTATACCTGGCAGTTTTAAAAATCTAATTGCAAATCTACAAAGGAAATATTTTATTTTAATTTTTAGTATGATGTAGTTACAGTGGTCAAAGGTATTAACAAAAATGTTTAAATTGTTGAGCAGTAGTAATTTATTCAAAGATTGGGTCTTGATTTAAACCAGTGGTTCTCAACCTGTGGGTCGCGACCCCTATGGGGGTCGAAAACCCTCTCCCAGGGATTCGCCTAAGAACATCGGAAACACATATACTCTACAGTTATGAAGTAGCAACGAAAATAATTTTGTTGTTGGGGGTCGCAACAACGCGAGGAACTGTGTGAAAGGGTAGCAGCGCTAGGAAGGTTGAGAAACACTGATTTAAACTGTCATTTTATCAGACATGTTAGATTTTCTTTTATGTTAATTCAAATAATTTTCATGCAAATTGATATTTAGAATATATTATGCATTCAGGTGTGTAGTGTAAAAAAAGCAGAAGATATGGCTTTATATTAACCAAATAATCACAAGCCATGGTAAAAAAGCCTTCATCACTATAAAAGGAGGGCAGATGAGATCTAAATTAGGAATATTAACAAATTTCCAGATTTGCCTTTAATCTTCACCAAAAAAAAAAACAAAAAAAAATATCTGAAAACTAAATATAGTTTGTCAACATTTTATTTTTCATTAGCGAGGTTGCTATAATATCTAGTGGTCCTAATGAGAATATATGAAGAAAACTATATAAATAGTAAAGGGAAAACAGCTAAGTGTACACTCACATGTTTTTTCCTTAATACAAAATTAACCAGGGCAATAAAATAATTAATAGTTAAGTCCATTTGCATTTCAATAAAATTTAGTCTTAAACTTTGACAACTGGCTTTTAAAGCACAAAATAAATGAAAGCAGAATAGATACAAAATATTTTGTACAATAGAAGTCAATTACAAAATGTGAACTGTGGTTTAAATAACTTATTCATTCAGTGATCTATGAGATACAGTTTTCAAACACAAAGGTCATTAAATTTTGAACCACAAGTCAATTCTAATTTTAACTAGTTGCATCATTAAGTATAAGGCACAGAGCATTCACATGTTTGTGAAAGGAATTTATACATAAGTAATGCCAGTTAAAAGGTAAAAAAAAGAACAACAACACAGCCTACTTGAGTAGTCTTGTTTGAATTTCTTTAACAGAATAATAATGTAAGAATCACTATTTTCTCAACAAAAACTTGCACTTTCCCTTGACTGACCAGAACTTTAAGCATACCAAAATAAATATATGCATTATTATGGAATGTCAATATAATTATACATTTAAAATAGTGATATCTGCTATTGATCATGTGAAACGTAAGTTTAACCCTTTGAACCTGGGATCCAGCGTAATCGGTCTTAGCGTTAGAAATGCACAACCTTGCAGAACGACATTTGGATCTCCGAATACCTTACCCTAGATTAACAGTCGGTATATGAAAATGTGTTGTAACTATTGAGTTCAGGGTTTAACATGTGACTTGCAAAAGATCACAGTAATCGAAAGATCACAGTAATTGTAGTGCCCATTGATGCATTGTTTTTGTTATGTTTTAGAAATTATTTTGCGATGTATAGAGGTGACAAAAATTTTAAAAATTACCATTTTAACGGACTTGAAACAGAACAGGTTGATGATAATGTAAAAGATTCAAAGGTTTCTTATCCTGTTTAGAAAAATGATTATAAATAAGCAAATAGACAATGAAAGTGACGATTGATTGACTTCAAATAATAGTGTTGTGTGCTTTGGGAATTAAAGAAACAACACAAGGTCTACTCCTAGTACTAACCCTGGTTTTTAAGAAAAATCAAGGGTGTATAAATGACCACCTACTATGCTATTCTACAACGATTCTAAGACAATTTTCTCCCTGTGATAAAATTTATAATAGTTATGGACTACAGACAAATTTAGATTAAAATAAATGCAATTTATTTAATTTTATAATCATGTGATTTTTGTTTGTTTTTAAGTTGTTTTTTAAGTTGTTGAAATTATCCACAGGAGCCCAGAGGCATAGATATTTTAGGATCAGGAGCCAAAGGTTCAAAGGGTTATTTAAGTAAATGAAATGATTCACAGGTAAAGGTTTAAATTAACCAAACGTGATCATAGAGAAAAGAATGCAAAAAAAGAAAACTGAGTTTGAGCATAATATATTTACCTGCTGTCTGCACATTAAAATTGTGAAAGCTCCAGATTAATTTCATATAATAAAATACTAGTAGATGTAGTACGCTGCACCACCTCCTGGGATAGTGGCAAATAAAGATTCTTGAACTCTGGCAAATTTTTCACTGTTGAGTTTGTAATAGTTATCTTGGACCCTTGACAAAAGTGATGCAACAGAATCTGATTTTACAATGGAGACTGCACATCCTCCCCAGCCTGCACCAGTCATTCGTGAGCCAACAGCACCACTGTTTCTGCAAAAAGTTCATGAAATAGGAATGACTGGTAAACAAAGAAGAGCTTGACATTTTTAACATGAAATTTGTTTGAAGGTTGTGCTCCATTTAAGTTAAGCAAAGATTTTATATTTTTTTAGAAGGAAATGATGGGAATAATTCTGAAGGGGCAACTAAACCAATGATGCAATAACACATCCTTCTTCTTCTTCTTCTTATATTCGAGGTGCCCACGATCAATTTGTTGATCATTCTGGCTCCTAGTTTTAAATTCAGAGTTTGCCTTCTCTTAGACAGGTTGCCGTCCAAGGCTAACGAGTCCCATCCACCCGGGTTGCTTGGGATGGCTTTGGTGGGGATTGAACTCCAGACCACCAGCTATTTCGTTTGAGACAGTTTAGACCGCTCGGCCACCCAGCAACCTCACACAAAAAAATATTCATGTAAGGAACACGAAGAGTACCAGTGGTGCACATAATAAATAGTGATATGTTTAAAAAGTGTCATACATTACTATAATAGATTTTTGAATAGGAGAAGAGAGAAATTAGCAGTTGCATTCTAATTTTAATTATATACACAAGACGCCTGCACATATAATAAGAATTAAACTAATTTATAGAATTTTAAATATAAGTTAATGACATCAATACATTAAAAGAAAAAATATCAAATGAAATTAAAATCCATAAAAACTCACAAAGTTTATCAATATACACTTTTAATAAGAGGTGGCTTAAATATCGTTTTCTTTGGTGGTAAATTATAAAAAATAAAAAAAAAGATAACCCCCTCAGCCCTAACATTGTTTAATGCGATAAACCTTGCATATGTTGATGAGGTGTAAAAATAGGGGGAGATATAAACTTCTTTTACGTTGCCTATTTGTCAATGAAATTGCTTTGACTGACTAACCTGCAAACCTCAACAAGACTGTCCAAGTCAGGGTGGCTGCAGTCATACATATCTCTGCAACTTGCATGGCTCTCATCCATGAGTTTTCCAAGCAGCTGCAAGGCATCCTCTGGTTGTTCATCACATATTGTTTTAAACTGTAACACTCGCTTTGCTTCACTGTAGACATGGGTCGCTCGCTTGTACAAACAAAATGTCTCCACTGAAAAAATATAGTTTACTATATTCAAAATGAACTTTAAGAACAGATCACAAGAATTTAAGTTTAAAGCTAAATTATAAATTTTTTCTTAACAGTGCATTATGTTAAGCAGGGGTTCTTAACTACTTTGCACTGTCACACCCAACACTTCATTTATTTATTACTTCAAGGGTTAGATTTCAAATTTTTAAATTTGTTTTTGTGTTTCAAAAAAAATATTGATTTTCCCCACACAAATGGGCACTGCCTCCCACACTCCCTGAGGGTGCTGGAATCCATGGTGTATATCAATATTATATAAATATTAACTAAATAATAAATTATGACAAATAGGGTGAAACTATATTAATACATGACATGCTAACATGGGCGCCCGCAGAAAACTTTCAAGGGGGGGGCAAAAAAAAAATCGATTAACTTTCCAGGGGGGGCAAAATTTTTTTAGTAATGTTTTCATATAGTTTTAATTTACTGTAGCGTATTTGTATGGTGAACGAACGGACAGGACATCAGCTTAGTTACTTTCTCTTTATTTTCTCTTTACTTTAATACATTTTTTGTCTATTTTTGTTAAAAATATTCTTATCCAATCAATCCAGGGGGGGGGGGGCAAGTGCCCCACCTTGCCCCTACCTGCGGGCGCCCATGCATGCTAACTTATGAAGGCTTGTTTTATTTTATGTTTAAAAAGCTTTAACTCACTTCTTGTATAGATATTTTGTGTCTTGTAATCAAATGTAATACTAGAAACAACCCCCCCCCCCCCTCAATCCCACAAACAAGTTCCCAATAAAACTACACAAAAAAAAACTTATTAGCCCTTTTGAAAAAAGCTTTAAATCACTTCTTGTATAGATATTTTGTGTCTTTTAATCAAATGTAATACTAGAAACAACCCCCCCCCCCCTCAATCCCACAAACAAGTTCTCAATAAAACTACACAAAATAAAACTTATTAGCCCTTTTGAGAGATGTAAAAATCCACTTACCATGTGTGGTATTTGTACTCAGACTTGTCTCTGCCAACTCATCTGGTGTAACTTCTAGCAATGTGCAAATTTCTTCTTTGCTATAAGGCTCTTTGTGCAAATTAGCTGTGACCAGTGTCAGCATGGCATCCAAACTGAAGCCTAATTTTTCTTGAAGATCTCCCAATCTTTTAACATCTCTCCATTTAATATTGGTCTGGGATGCTGCTAATACCTGATGAAAGAGTGGATATAAACTATTATGAATTAATCATAAAGCCAATTTATCTGTCAATAAAAAAAAAAAATATTTCCATTATTACATTCAGCACAAACAGGAAATTGTATAGTTACTAACCTGGGCAGCCAGTCTGCATTCAACTACTCGTGTATTAAATTGAGGTGTTGCTGCTTTGTTCATCTCGGCTAGAGAATTGCTTACAATAAAAGCTGCATCAGCTGGGAGTTGAACGTCTGTGGTTCGAAGGGGGTTAAACTCTATAAGCTTGGCCTGGAAGTGTTCGTTACATTTTAAAATGGGGTCAATTCAGAGTAAGAAGCTTTTCATTTCAGAGATTTTAAAAGAAACGACTAATATAAGAGTTACATAGCAACATCTTTCCAATTTCACATTATTTCAAACAAACTTCATTTTGGTTCAAAATAAAAATTTTCATTGACGTCACAAATTATTAAATTTTGTCATGTCTTTTTTTCAAGCCTAAACATTCTTGTTAAACTATTTATTTACTTCTAATTGCAGTCTTCTAATACTTCTAATATGGGGATATGTATTATTATTAAATTAAAGGAGACCATAATTTAAATGCAAGACGCTTTCATGAAACTCCCGTAAATATTATAAATCCTGTATTATAAAGAAAAGCTTTTTTAATTCTTACTTTTCCACTCTTTGCAGTCAGACTTATGGCTTGATCCATCCCACCACCTTCAGTTCCAATGTAGCGTTCACATTTGGCGCATACCTCTGCAAGATGCTCCTTATCAAAGAATGAAATGTTATGTTGACAGAGTTAACTCATTAACATAAAAATTATTCTCCCCATAAAAGACAAGTTACTGTATTTTCACGCATATAAGACTCACCTAATGACACACCCGTATATAAGACGCAGGTTTTGACGATTTGTGCAAAAAATATTTTACTAAGACGCACCCATATATAAGACACAGGTTTTGATGATGTGTATAAACAAAAATTACATATGACACACGTGGTCTAGCCATCTGCCGCACTGAGCAATTTATATCCACAGGTTTCCTTTCCTTTATGATAAATGAAAATTTGTCCCATGTTTCATCAACCGTCGGATGTAAACAAGGCTTCATTACCATTTTTAGTTTACTGGTAGATCAAAGAATTGTCTGAGGCAGGATCGCAACGATTATTGTTTAGTCTTATCTGCAGCCTAGCCAAAAGCAGATGGGTTGAGTACCTGGTATCTAGATTCTAGAAACAAACGACTAAACTATTTAAGTTACTATATTATTTATTTATTTATTTAGGCATTTTTATATAGCGCTTATCATAAAGCTCTAAATTTAAAATATTTACTCCGACTAAACTTAGATCTGCAATAATTAGGATAGAAGTATACAAAACATTGAAATGAATGGATTTTAAATTTGAAGTGGCCTGCATTGGTTAGGTACACATATTTTCTAAACACTTACCCAATTGTTTTTACAACTAGGAATGAAAATCATGAAACGTGAATATCGACGGCAATAATGGTCCTTCAATATAACACACTGTACCATTCGTTTGTGTTAAAAAATACTTACCGTATTTTCATGCATATAAGACACACATAAGTATAAGATGCACCCATATATAAGACGCAGGTTTTGACAATGTGTGTAAAAAATATTTCATGTATATTGTACCCACATGTAATACGCATGTATAAGACATGTCTTATATACGCAAAAATACGGTACTTAGACAAATCCATTTTATCTGCTTCAATTCAAAGAGTCAAAGAGTGATTTAAAAAATTAAAATTATGATTTAAAATTGAATCTCTAAAAGCAAACAAAATTGATGCTTTCTTGAACATAATATTTACAGATTTTTTTTACAATCACTATATAAAAATTATTTTGGATATCATGTATAACTATTTTCTTTGGTTTGAAGAATTTACATATACCTATGCATTCAATTAATAAATTACATATCCTTAACTATCCATTTTTATTAGCTACATAAAAATTCCTGTAAATAAAATGATAAAAAATGTAATTGCAAATCAAAAAAATTATGTTCAGTCTATGTCAAAATTTCAATTAAATGTTTTTCACTATAACCTTCACAAGTAGTTACATTTTCACAGATCATGAGATCTGACATCTAGAGGTGCATAATTACTAATAGAATTCAATGAAAGCTTTGAAATTATGAAATTTAAGCAATTTTCTGCCAAATTTCTACTGTCTAAATAGGTGGAAACTGATACAAAAATTGACTAAAAAAGGATGAAACAAAGTTTAAGTCAAGGAGAATATAAGTAAAAGGGTTAAAAATCATTACAATTTTTTTAGAATGTAGCAGCAGCTGAAATTATTCTGACATCCTCTTTCCTAAAATAAATTGTTATGATCGTGTTTAGTTACTTACTTTTGTCATGTTCCACTTGTTGGCTCTCAGCATGGCCAAGGCTGAACAGCACACTAAAGCACTTGAGCTAGACAGTCCCGCACTTCTAGGAACAGTTCCATGTATAACAGCTTTGAAGCCTTTGATGGTTTCACTTTGGAATTGCTCTTTGATACCCAAAATACCACACAACACATATTTATACCAGTGGGGTTCGTCTTTAGTGATGACAATTTTGGTGACATCACAGGTGAAAGATCTTTGTTGGAAAATGAAGGCAAAAGTTTTGCATAAAATATCAATATCAGTTCAACTGGGCTTTTATTTCAATGATAGATCAACAACTGAATTCAATAATATTTCATTGGTAAAAAAACATGTTGCATTAAGTTTCTTTAGCTGACTTGTGGGTGTTAAATAATATAATATTGCAGAGTAGAAGTTTTAATAAAGAGTTTGCTTGGTTTAGATATAAAAAAAACTTTAGACAAACTTACTCATACTGGGGATCTGCACTAACTAAAGAGATGCTCCCACTACTGTCTGGCAAAACAGCCATAACAATATCTTGTTCTACAGCCATGGGTAATACTGAATAGCCACAATAATCAATATGTTCTCCTGCATGACAATAATATATTAATATGCAGTCCAAATTACTGGCATATCACAGCAAATGTAACATCAAGATATGACATTGTGATCACCAAGGTATGACACTGTGATCACATTGTAAAACTTCTAATAAAACTTCAACCCCTTCATTACCACTGTTTCTTTTTCTACAGAATAATGTAATTTTTGTGTGTGATTGTTGATTAGTACAGTTGAATTATTTTTTGGGATTATAGTTTAAGATTGCATGTAATTAGTTATAGTTTTTATAGAGAACATGCTCATTGTTTATTAATAAACTTAAGCATTGAATAAAGTTTTTAAGATATGTTGATCAAGGTCAACAAAAGTTAAAGGGTAACTATACAAATGAAAAGCACAAATAAAAATGAAACAAAATTTATCACTATCAAAAAGTTTTAAAAAAGCCGGTCCAGTAAATGCTGAGGAAATTTTCAATTATCAAATATGCCCCCCAATATTTATAGCACAGTTTATATTAATAGTAAAAGACATGCAATGGTTTGTGATGATGTTTGTAGTAACTTTAATGGACAAAACAAAGAACACAAACATTATTATCACATCAAAAAATACTTTCATCAAAATTTTTTCCCAAAAGAAAATAACTCACTTTTCAAAGCTGCTGATTAGTTATTATTAAAGTGAAATAAATTTAAAAAATTATTATCAATAATATCTTTATGTTAATGAAATTCCAGTAGACAGATTTTTGCATGACATGTTTTCAATCCAAATGATTTTAATAAAATAGATTCTAGCTAGCTTTAAAAATGTAACATTTTTTTTATTTCAATAAAATTTGTACCTATAAGATTCACTCTTCCTGGAGCCCGTGAAAAAAATTCTGGCCCTTCACCAAAGTTTTCTTGGAATGTTTGACTGATATTTTTATACCTGGGAGTTGAAAAATGCAATTTTGTGGAAGAATGCAATTTTGAAAAAAACTGACATGGAGGTTTAGAGAGTTAGAGACACTATTTTGCAATGAAAATGTTCAACTAAATTAAATTAAGTTCATGTTTTAATATTTATAACTTCTGTAAATGCATGTAACTATATTTTAGCATACAGTTATAGAATAATTATTGTATAAAGAATCTCAGGGAAGAATGTTGCAAGATGAATATTAATCTTACCAAAATATGAAATAAATCTGATTCAGCTGAATTTTTAAAATTTAATGAGCTTATCTAAAAATGAATAAGTATATGCTCTGCAAATGAAAAAGGTGTATAGATTTAGCAGGGAATTCAATATCTGAATCTAAACATCTAACTGACCTATCTTTTTGTGCCTCTGGTATTGCAGAAACAGGTGTCTGACTTTCTTCTGCCATCTTCAATTATCTGAAAATAATATTTGATAAAGCTGCTAATTGTCACAAAAAATAAAATAATTCAGATTCAACTAGGTATCACAGTTTTTGACTACTTATATGTAAACTGAACCTGCAGAAGGGCATAAAATTTGGAACTCTTTTAAATTAATCAAAATAACTATTGAAATTTAGTCTAATTGCATCTATTGAAAATTAAAAAAAGAAAGAAATATGCTTAAAATTTAGTTCCAATTACTGAATGTAAATATTTTTCTTTGCCTTTTTTAACACAATGAACATATATATTCACCACCTTAGGTGCACAACGAAAAATATAGATTGCAGTAAACAATCTGATGTGACAGCTGTTCTTAAAACAGTCCAGTAAAATCAATATGTTGGCTTTAATTAAATTTAATCATGTTTAAGTAATAAATATAGATTTTTCCTTCAAAATTGAAGTAAATATTTTCAAGTGATACCAATTCCAAGATTTTATTACATATAAAATATTAACCTTGTGATTCCTAGAAAGTAACAGCTCCTAAAACACTTTCTAGTCTACAACAAACCTTTGATTGTTCAATGACCTGATCTTAAAGCAATGTCTTACACAAGAAATAGGACACTGCAGATATAAACTTAAAGACATCCAGTAAGAGGAATGGGTCATTGACTGGGTTAAATAAAAGCTGAGGATACACATCAGCCCATACTCAATTTCATAATAGATTTTACAAAGTTTGGACTCGGTAGATAAGATGTGAACAGGTAGATATCAGTTAGGTAACTAATACAGTCATGTTAGAAACAATAGCTCTTAATTAGAACATACACTGCTTACCATGAGAGGGGTGGGGGTTTGGGGGGGAGAGAGAAGCAACAACAAAAAATGTCTTTATAAAAAAGGTTTTGAAATAAAATTTTTTTTAGCAAACCGAATATCACAAACATTAGCTAAAATAAAAAAAAAAAGCAAATAAACTAAATGGTAAAATTATGTAGGTTTATTATAGTCTCTCAGTATAGCCAAATGTCAACAAAAAATTGAACTGTATGGATAACTGAGAGGATCTCAAGAATGCCTTGAGAATATTTACACAACAGGCTGTCATTGGCCTTTCTTTCTTTATTTCGTGACTGGTTAGTGGTTGTGTACTGTTTTGAAGGGTTTTGTAGCAGGGGATCAAATTAAGTAGGTCATACACTCTACACAACACTACAACTTAGCTATTTGTCTAATACTAAAAATAATAATTATATGCTTTAGTGCAGTGGTTTTCAACATTTTTACAAATTGGGCACGCTAAGGTAATACAGTTATTATTGCGGAAATCCCTCTTATCATTGCTTATACTAGATGAATAATTATATATTTTTAACTTTAAACAGATAAGAAAAAACCAAAGTGTTTTAAACAGCAGATGGATTCATCTCTTTTATAGACATAACATTGGCATTTGATGGAGTACACTTTTCAGGTTCTTGTCACAGAAAACTAATACTCGTCTATGGCCGATTGCTGTCATCACATCAATTCATGAGCACATGAAGTGCAAAATGTGTTTCATTCACACAACATCTGCGTCTTTTTCAATCAGCAGCAGATTGAAAGCAAGGCTCAATTCTTGCACCTATGCTCTTAGTAATCTTATTTTATTGACTGCATGCCTCCAAACAGAAAGCTATTTAAAATAGTGCAAATCCTAGGCTGTACTAAAGTCGCTAAGGGTATCAAATATAAACTGACTTTACTTTAACCAATGATGCAACAGAATAGGCCTACACTGTAGTTCAGTTTCACTGCACCCTGGGAGTATTAGTGTGGCACTCCATTTAAAACCCACTGCTGTTGTGTCAATTACCAGGTCTTACTATTATAGTTATTAGGTTTAGGGGCCATCCATAAACAACACTATGTATCTAGGATGGGTAATCTTTCCTTAAATCTCTACAATTTTTCTAACATCACTTTGTTTTGATAAGAAACTAAACAATTCTCAATGCAAAATCAAAATGAGTACTGATAATTTTTTATAATTAAAATTTAAATGTAACAGTTCAGTAATCAGTGAAAGCTCCAAATTTCATGTTGGTTATAAACCAGAGTGTCCCCTCACAAACTTCCCACCACGGCCACAACACCTCCAAGTTGCCACTGTCCCCATAGATTGTAATTTAAGTCTGCCATCTTTCTACAACAAAAGTCCCCCTCTAGGCACATTCTTACAAGTGAAAGACAAGACTAGTGTCAGATTGTGCTTTTGTTTTTCTTCTATGTGCTTTCACTCACTTTCATCAGTAGTTTGCTCATTTAAATAACCTGTTAATAAATAAAGGGCTAATTTGGAGAGATAGCACCCAGACGTCATTTGCGTGTCTTGTCCCCAATTCAGATAGGGTCAAAACCCAGGTAAGGGATAAGTTGAGGGTTCAGGTTAGGTTTAGGAATAGATTTAGGGTTCAGGTTAGGTTTAGGTATAGGTATAGATTAAGGGTGCAGGTTAGGTTTAGGGATACATTTAGGACATAAATTCACGGGTCGCCGCAACCAAGATGGCGGCCGCAGTGCTATCTCTCCAAATTTACCAAATAAATTACAATTACAGAAATAAATGCATATAATATAAGTACCTATAAGTAAGTAAGGAATTTATCTTGCCCTATACCCATACCGGTACAAAAACAAAAAACTTTGTTTTTAGGGGTTGTTTAATTTTAAATAATAAATAGTAAAATAAAGTTACGTAGAAGTGTAAAGTCACTGTAAAGTGTAACAAAGTGGCTATTCGCACCCAATAGCAGCTATGCGCACCCGGGTCCCTTTAGACTAAATCCAATTACGCTGGCATTTGTGGTAGTTAATTTTAATTTAAACTGTTAATAAGTTTATATAATAAATATTAAATATAGTCTTAACTTAGTCAATAATTCAATTATCTTTCATTTGATACCTCATTTTTTGTCTTACAAACCCAACAATATTTTAAATAGTTTTTTAATCACCACCTCTCACTTCTGATACCCGGGTGCCAATAGTCACAGCCAAAGTGTAATATGTAAGTGTAGTAGTAGTGCAACACTATTAAAATAAATACTATTACTATTATTAACTAGACTACTGAGTCTACTGTGTGTAAGTGTATACTATTAGTATACTAGTAACTAGTATATTAGTATACTGTTAGTAACTAGTATACTGTATACGATACGCCAATCAAATTTTTCAAAGTACCCCCGTACCGGTAATCTAAATTTTAAACTACAACTATTTACACTAATTATTGTGTGGATTATCTCTTACACACACATTATTTTAATAGTGAGGGCAATGCTTGTACTTGTTATTTTAATTCGGCCCCCACGCCTACACCTTCCTTGCCTTCAACCGACGTCGGTCGCAACAAAACAAGCACAGACAGCACAACACCACAACTCACAAAGTATCAGACTACGCCTAAATGTCAAAGGTTAGAGGTGAATAATTGAATACTGTGTGCCAGATTATCTTAAAAGTAGGCCTACACTATTGTATGTTAAATTAACTGAGATTAGGACAATTATTTTATTAGTTTTACAAGATCGCGCATTGAAAGTTCGAAAATATCAATTTTTTTTAGCATTTAATTTTAAGCAAAATTTATAAACATAACGTTGAAATGTTTTATTTTTAATCTTTTTGTAACGTGTCGCCAGAGGTGGAAAAAAATGTGCTTACAACTAAGACTTGTATTGTAAGAGAAAAGAAGTGATTATAAGAACTAAGAGCAGAGAAGCCTTTGACTCCCAAATTATGTAAAAATTCACGGACCACGCGTTTATTCGTATCCGGAAATTTGATCTAAAGAAATTTCGTCGACGGTAAATTGATCGACGGTAATTTGATCGAACGGAAATATGGTCGAATCTTTTTTTCCGTTTTTACGTTTAAATTTTGCTTCAAATGTCTTTTTGAACGCATTATTTTGTTTTACTATATAGAACAGTGCGTTCAAAAAGAAATTTGACGAAAATTTTAACGTGTGAACTGAAAAAAAGATTCGACCAAATTTCCAGTCGATCAAATTAACGTCGATCAATTTACCGTCGACGAAACGAACATTATTTTATTTATTTTAAATAATAATATAAATACCAATTTTTACCCTTGTATGATCATTAGATTTTGATATACTGTTATAAAATATTTACCACCAAGTAAGTGTATAACAACCACGAGTTTCGAGGTAATAGGAATCATCGCTTTTCCACGCCCCGAACTGTATTTTTGGGAAATGGTTAACGCGTAGGCTAACTTATAATTTTAAAAACAACAATTTCAATTTCAAAAAAAGCTAAATGCTATCTTTCAAAATTGTAGAAACAGCGAGTTTTGAGATATGATTATCCTCATTTACAATATAGGCCTGCCAAACTTTTTTTGTATCCCCATGAACTATGAACTGTATTGTAAAAAAAAAAAAAAAAATGTCAATTCAGAAATTTTTAAACAAACAATTTTCGAATCTGTAAGGTAACATAATTTTGTTGTTTTAAATATTAAGCAAGCTTATCTTTAGGCCCTATATAATATTGGACTACCCACTGTTTTACCAGGCTTTTATACGTAGGTCTATTGCAAAAATTGGATTTTTGAAGAAGAATTTAGATAACGAATTTCACGACTGTACCATTCAGTGTTTCTGTCAGACATGGTCTTCGGGAAGGGGGGGGGGGGGGGCCCCGGCCAGTGGGCAGAGGCGTAGCTGGGGAGGGGGGCAAGAGGGGACAAATGTCTAAAGGGACCCGGGTCCGAATAGCGGCGCTGCGTGTCCGGGTCCATTTTGACTAAATGCTATTCGGATGTCGTTTGTTGTAGTTTATTTTAGTTTAACTGAAGAAGTAAGTTTACAAAAATATAGTCCATTCAATTATCTTCATTTGATACATAATTTTGTCTTACAAACTCTACAATAATTTTTAAATATTGGTTTATAAACCCAAACTCTCCCTTCTCGGACCCAGGTCCGAATAGCCACAGCCTTTTGAATTTGTCAAAAATTTTCTGGGGATTATAAAGATTTAATGGACAATATTAATCTAGGTAAATGCATTCCCCCAAGGGCGCCACAACTGGAATGAATTTAGTTCATGTCCTGCTGGTGCCGCATTAAGGTTGTCTTTGATCATTATTATGGCTAATTTTGGCGCTTCCCACGCAAAAGTTTAAAATATCACATCAAAATCGTCTGAAAGAAACACCAAATTCAAGTATGCGCCAAATTTTCGCGACTGTCTTAAGCACCATCAATATCTACATCTCTTCTCCCTCGCTAATCAATGTAACTGTATAAGGTTGAATATAATCTTGTGCCAAATGATTACCCTAAAGCACGCCATAACTGGAATGAATTCACTTTGTGTATGGCAATGGCACTCTTATGCCTCCCCATACCCTTTCAAATTTCTTTCCCCTGATCAAAAATTTTAATAGAAACATTGAATTCAACTACACCAAATTGAACCTCTTGATTTTGAAATAATTTTTAAAATTCTGGGGAGAAGTCTCCTCAGACTCCACCACCGCTCAAGATTCATCTTATTTGCTTACTTATGCCTTTTATCCAGACTTGGGCATAAGGCGTATAACAGAATGTTCCATTCATCTCGGCCTTTGCGATCCTTTTTAGTTGCTTCCAGGTGTATCCCATAATAGGATCTTTCTAAGGCAAGTGTTTTTGAAGGTTTTTACTTTATGCGTAATGCTCTCTGTTGCCCTCAAAGTATCGGCTCCATAGAGTATGACTGTTCTGAGATTTAGTTTGAAGAGTCAGCTCCTTTGATTCCCATATTTTCTATAATGCCACAAATGCTGACCTAGCCTTTCAAATTCTAGCCCTGACATCTGCTTAGGATCCACCATTTAATTCAATGGTTCTGCCTAAGTATGTGAAAGCCTCCACTTATTCCAGTGCATATCCTACCAGAGAGATATGCTCTTGGTTGGCTGAGTTTACCTTTATGATCGCTGTTTTGTTTTTATTTATATACATAAAAGCAAAAGTCATAGGAGCCCTCGATTTCTACCCCACACCCCGATGAAAATCAATGCTAATTTTGTTGACGCTAGATACACTTCCTAGAGGCGAATATGATATTAGTGTTACCATGGGGCCAAATATTTTGGTCGCTCTACCTTTCCCTATACAAACTGTGCAGTTGTCCGAAAATGCCGCACCTCCATATAAATAAAAAGTGGGAACTGGGTGAACAACCTCACCCCCCCCCCCTCTTTTTCGACGCTAGTGGAAGGGGCGTAATTAGCGTGCATGGCATCAGGGGACGTGATTTATATTTACGCCTGTAATAGAAATGAATGATGCTCACTCTTCAGTGTTCGGTGTCACAACTGACTTTATTTTGACCTTCTACAACCTTTTTATAGTTCTACATAAAAGATCACTCATTCCAGATTTCCACGCATTTACGTTCAAAAACTTTCATGAATAAAAACAACTCATGACGTCCAGTCATACTGTCACAACGCCCCTCCCCCTTAACTCTGAAACTAATTATTTTCCTCTAATACCACCAAAGCCCATTTTGGTTCCCCCTCTAGTCTGGCGCTCCGGGACGCTTTTCTCACCTTCCACCCCCTTGGTTACGCCTCTGGCCACTGGCACTACCCCGTCCCCGAAAATCCCCCCCTCCCCCCGGGGAGGGGGGGAATTCGGGGGCAGGGAATTCTGAAAGAAACACTGGGCGTGAGGGATCAAGAAAGCCGAAATTGAGGGTGCTGAAAACTCTCAAGTAAAAGTTTGGTACAGGGGTCCCCATAGAAAAATGTTGATTAATTCAAAATGTGGGGATGTGTTTGGTGCACAATTGAAGTGGGTGTTTCTTTCAGAAATTTTGGAAGGGTTCATTTCGAACGTTTGGTGGAAGTACCAGAATTAGCCATAATGAAGGTCAGGTACATCTCTAACTCCGCTCCAGCTCAACATCATCTAAACTCATTCCAGCTGATGCCCTTGAGGGTATACTTATTGTACCAGCTTAGTGTCGCCCCTTAATTCTGTATAGTTCCCAGACAATTTTTGATAAATTTAAAATGCAAGAATGGATTTCAGAACAGAATATAAATTTAGTTTTACATCATTTTACACTTAATCGGAGAGCAACGGGAGAGATGCTAGTTAAAATTTAGGTTCCATTTTACCCCAGAGCCATCGGGTGGGCCCTGCAACGCCTATGACTGCAGGGGGCCTCCGATATATTAGGGGCTTTAAGTTGTGCTGTGAACATTTTTTTTAAATTATCAAATTTAAATGGAAGGTGGAGGAAGGACAAAACCAAAAAGTGGAATAGGGTCTCAGCAAGTCAAATGACGGCTCTGCTCGACCTAGTTTTGCAATAAAAAATATGTATTTTTAGATAACTAAATAACACTGCGGTTTTATCTTTTGTTAAAACTATATTTGGGTAAATTACTTTAACTTCCAAAAAATATTTCCATCACAAAAAAAAAAAGCAGTGCCAACATTAAAAAAATAAATAAAATTCAGCACAATGGAAAAAAAATAGGCCTCGTTATAATTTATAATAATTACATGAGTCAAGAAGAAGAAGTAATGTTTTGTAGAAATGTCTATACATTAATAAGGATTTTTAAAATTGGTTACTTTTATGAATCATATAAGAAATCCATAATTATTAAGAAGACATAAGTTGTTTACAAAAGACAACATAATATATTATTAACATGTGAATTTATTCGTGGGGTATTGTAACAAAAATAACGAATCCTACACATGTCCCAATATTCAGTTAATTAAAACATTTATTTGGATTTCCAAACAAAATTTTTTTTGATCAGCTGAATTTTAAATGGCTTTAAACACATTTTTAAAACATATCCATAGAATTTAGTGTTGACGATTTGGAAAGGACCCTTTTTTTTTTCTTCTCTAAAACTAGTAGGGCCTACATAAAATGGAATTGGCAGGATAATCTGCTATTTTACATTAAATGGTAGATTTTTTAGAAAGCTTTCTGTAGTATTTCATTTAAAAAATATGTTAACGTCAAAATATTCGTGCAAGTATTTGAACTCGTGCGGATTATTTGATCTCCCATCGAACGCCTCGATGGTGGCGGATAGGGGAAAGCCCACCAGATATGGAGGGTACCGGGGAAATAAAATACCCGGGGCGGACCAAAATCAGAACCTACTGCCTTGTAGGAAGTGGAGGGATCCACAAAGGCTAGGGAACCATACCCAAAAAACCAAGGCAGCTACCTAGAGAGTGGTAAAGAGCAGCAGCCCCCCCCTCCCCTTTTACGGTTGTGCGCAGGGCTAACAACGCGGCCATGTAAAAAATATACGTTACGAAAGCCAAACAACAGATGAAAACCCGGACTTATACCAATGGAAATCGACCTATGCATGGATATGGGCATGATTTTTTGATTGCGACTTGGAATGTACTAGGCGTGTTTAGAGCAGGAGCCTTAGCCATCCTTGTAAATCAGCTGGTCAAATATAAAATATCTATTGCTGCATTGCAAGAAATTCGTTGGAAAATTTCAGACATCCTCAAAACAAAAAAATACACCATATTTTAAAGTGGTAACAACAACAACAACACACTGGGAACAGGATTTGCCGTGAAAAAAGAAGCAGTAAGTGTACTCATAGGCTTCAAACCAGAAAATGAAGAATATTTTCTTTGCGTGTGCGAGGGAAAATATTCAATATAATATTCATTAATGTACATCCTCCCACAGAAGAATTAAGGAAGATCAGGATAAAGAATCCTTGAGACACTGGAAAAGATCTACGAAGAGGCACCACGATATGATATTAAAATAGTGATTGGAGACTTAAATGTCAAAAAAGGAAAAGTAAAGGTGTTCATACCAACTATTGGCAAGGAAAATCTGCAAGAAGAATCCAATGGCAATGGGACCCGACTCATAGACTTTGCTTTAGGAATAGGGATGTCAGTTAGCATCACAAAAATATACATAAAGTTTCTTGGAACAACCAGATGAAATCACCCACACAAAAAAGACCATGTTCTAATTAATCGGAGGTATGGATTAGATATACCTACTAGATATAAGAAGCTATCGAGGAGCAGATGCAGACTCTGACCATCTACTTGTAAGGGTTAAATATAAGCAAAAAATAAGCATAATTCGCAATGGCCGTATTCAAAGAGAAAAACGGTGATTACCAAAGGCTTACCAAAGACCCACTAACTGCAAAAGCTTACCAAAATGAAGACGAAGCAAATCTAGAAGCATCACAGGAGGAAGGGAACAGGGAAAACAACATACATGAACAGTGGGATAGGATAAAAAAATTCCATGAAAAGACCAGCAGAAAAAATTGTAGGTTTCCAGAAAACTAACAGTAGAGTAGGCTGGTTTGATAATCAGAGAGTCTGTCGAAGAAAGGAACAAAGCACGAATAGCCATGATACAAAGAGAAACCAGAAAGACAACACAAACCTACAAGGAAGCCAGAAGGAAAGCCACAAAAATGTGTCGGAAGAAAAAGAGGGAATGGGGAAAAGCTACACTAAAAGAAATAGAAGACTTACCAAGAGAGGGAAACATCAGAGGAATGTACATGAAGATAAAAGATGAAAAGAATGGATACCAAGCCAGCCCGCAAATGCGTGGGCGTCAGGATGGAGAATTAATTACGGAAAATAGTTAAGTACTGGAGAGGTGGGCTGAATATTTTGAAGACATGCTGAATGCAGACAATAGACAAGATGAAGATTACCAACCACCACATGGAGAACCAGATACTTTTATAAACACCCCCAACTCTAGAAGAAACTAAAGAAGTAATCAATTATATGAAAAACCTTAAAGCCCTTGAAGAAGACCTCATCACAGCGGAACTTATTAAATATGGAGGAAGAGAACTACACATTCAGATAGACAGAAACTTATAACTAAAATTTGACAAGAAGAGAAATTTCCAACAGAATGGGTAACAGCATTAATAAACCCAATACACAAGAAAGGCTCCAATCTTTAGTGCACAAAAAGGAATCTCCCTATTAATTGTTTCATACAAAATACTGACGAAGCTAATTGCCTAAAGAATACAAACGTAAACTGAAGAAATACTAGGTGATTACCAATATGGATTCAAGCAAAAAAGATCAACGACTGATCAGATCGTCAACAGCTGATGCCTACTAGAGAAATGTTATGAATATAATATCCCAGTACATCCGCTCTATGTGGACAATAATATGGCCTATGACAGCATCAAAAGAACATATCTATATGAGACTGCAGGAAATTGGCATACCAAACAAACTGAAAAGACTGATACGTGTAGAATTGAAGAACTCATAAAGCAAAATCAAGGCTCAAGGAGAATATTCAAGGGAATTTCAAATTAGACGAGGCCTAAGACAGGGAGGCTCACGGTCTTGTATGATATTTAACTTAACAAACATTAGAGAGGGTTATAAGAAGCATACATATTGACACCCGAGGAACAATAACACTAATAACATGATACTCCCTGAGGGAAACCCAAGACCCACAACCAATGGGCATTCTCTACAATCAACCTCTTCAGTATCGTGCATATGCTGATGACATAGCACTGCTGGGGAAAAGTATAAAGACATATGCCTTTATTGATAGAAGACGCATCACTACAAGCAGGGCTGGAAGTTAACAACCAAAAAAAAAAAAAATACATGACGATGATAAGAGAAGAACAGACAGATGAATTCATCAAAATTAGAAAACAGACTTTTGAAAAAGTAAATAAATTCAAATACCTAGGATCTTTATTAAATGAAAGAAACGAATATCAGCCGGAAACAGGGCATGCTTCAGTAGTCAAAAATACTCAACAGAAAAAAGTTACAAGAGAAACAAAGCAAACTATTTATAAAACTTAATCAGACCAGTTGTAACAAATGCAAGAGAAACTTGGACCCTAACAAAAACGGCAGACAACCTATTAAACATATGGGAGACGAAAGTTCTCCGGGAAATATATGGACCAACAAAGTATGAATATGGATCGAGAATACAAACCAACCATGAATTGTACAGTCTATATCAGGATCCCACGATAGTAACAGAAATAAAAAAAGGGCAGGTTACGCTGGGCAGGACACTTAGAAAGAATGCCAGAGGAAAACGGCTCAAAGGCAGAACTAGGCTAAGATGGATGGACGATGTGGAAAAAGATCTGCAACAATTGGGAATCCAAGCATGGAAAAGAAAAGCATTACTTGGGTCTGAGTGGAAGGAAGTAGTGATGCAGGCCAAATCCCTAAAATGGGTTGTAGCGCCACAGATATGGATGGATGTATTAAAAATAGAAAACCATTTGGGAATTTAATAAACATAAGCTGTTTCTTTTTTAAACTCTGTTCAATGTTATTCAGGAAGCTGTGTTACTTAAGTAGTGTATCTAAAGAAAACTCAAAAGCTTTCATAATTTTTTAAACTTTCACTATTTTTAAGCCCATGTAAAATTCTTAATGTTTGTTATAAAAAAACAAAAAAATTATAAATTTGTATGTTTTATTTTACCTAGCTCAACATTGGCTACATGAAATCCAGTACATGACAAATTATGCTATTTTTTAAAGCATGAGGCCATCATACACTTTATAAGTAACTTTAATTCCCTACTTTAAAAGCCATGCTTTTATGATTAAATATATTTTGATAATAGATTGCACGTTTGATACTTAGCAAAACTATATTAAAATTATAGATCTTTATATTGATGAAAAGGTAGTTTAATAAGTGCCATTAAAGTTTTTAAGCTTGTGAACTTGCAAAAAATAAATAAATAAAAATACTGATACATGAGAACAATGGGATGTAAGCTTTGTCTTATAATCGGACGCTGCCAATTTTTGAAACTGAACGACATTTATAATAGAATAATGTAGGACTCTAATGATATTAGCCTTAAATACCATTGTGATATTTCACTGATTGCACTAACTGTAATCAGTTAAAGGTATCAAGGTATCAGTTATTATTCTTTTTAAAATGTTAATTTGGTAATATTTTTTTTATAAAGTATATTTTCGTTTTATTGTAAACATCTTTCCCCAGGTGGGTGGGGGCACTTGTCATTTTCCAGGGAGGGGCACTCCCCCCCCCCCTCTCTGCAAAGAGAGAGATTGCCTGAAAGAAACACTGTTAGCATTTTGGTACTATTACATTTTGTAACCTCATTCAAATGTTTACACCATCCCACTTATTTTTCTTTACCCATATTTTTTTTATAAAGTTTATTTTCGTTTTATTGTAAACATCTTTCCCCAGGTGGGTGGGGGCACTTGTCATTTTCCCGGGGGGGGCCCTCCCCCCCCCCCCCTCTGCAAAGAGAGAGATTGCCTGAAAGAAACACTGTTAGCATTTTGGTACTATTAGATTTGGTAACCTCATTCAAATGTTTACACAATGCCACTTATTTTTCTTGACCCTGAGACTGAACTCATGTAATTTTGAAAAAGGCCAAAACATAATAATATATCTCCTTATTTGTAAAAATCAGTGGATCTCAAAATATTGACAACTTCAAAAGTTGTATAAAACTTTATTATAAAATAATTGTAAAATGTATATGTGTATTCAAAATTTGTATTTATGACTGAAATTTAAAAAGCAACAAAAACACAAAAATCATTGTATAAGAAATATAATAACATTTTTAAAATTTTTAATTGCCTTTTGAGTTATTTGTCATTGTAATTGACTTGAAAATTACATTAAAAAATGTATCAATTTTTTATGGTAATGATAGCTTAATAGCCTATAGCTAAATCTTCACAAATATTTTTGCCATCAAATTTCATCTGGGTGATGGTACACTTTAAAAACGTTTAGGCCTATAATTTATTTTCTCAAGATTTATGATAAAACAAAACACCCATACTTATTTACATTGTTACACCCACATCCAATGCCAATGTAATAAAAACAGCACTCACAGGTTATGATACCTTACTCATTGCATTATTTTATTAAATTTGTTATCCAACTTTATATGTATGCTTTTAAAAAGAATAATAATTTGATATAAAAATTATGGGTGGTTTATATTTAATTATTTGTTAACTATTAAGTTATTATTTTAATTAAGATTTGGTGATTAAAATAAAATATGAAAGAACTCTAATAAAAAAAAATCACTATGATCTATTAGAGATTCCAAAAGAAAATAATTTTGCTAATTACTTATAAAGCTGATTTTAAATAAACATTTTGACTTTGTCATTCAAAAGCAATCAGCAGAAATATTAGTTATATAATTGCATTTTGCATTTATATAAATTTAGGGTTTAATGAAAGCTTTCATGTTTTCTCAATAATAATAAAATAGTTTGGCATAAATGTTTTGCTATTAATAAATATAAAACATTGTTGGAATAGAAAATACTTTCAAAAACTGATTGGGTTTATTTATTTGACTTTAGAGAGTTCTGGCAAGTGTGATGAGTCTTTGAAATGTTGCATGTCTGCATCAAACTGGCTTTCAGATTTATGCTCTTCTGTGCTTCCCGTAAATGCTGTATGCGGAGGCTTTAATTTATCATTTACTCTTCTTTGTAATGCCGTTTGCTTTCTATGTTTCTTATTGTGGTCAGATAATGAACCAGCACTAGCTGGTTTAGGTTGTAGTTCTTCCTTGCCATTGTGTGAGACAGTCAAAGCACTTTGGACTCTATTTTCAGATAAAAAACATAAGTCTTTTCCTATGACATTATCAAGGCCCCAGTCAGAGTCTGAGTCAGATAAAGCTGTTGATTGCCTTTCATAAACTGGCCTAGGCTCATAATTTGAATGCTTATTGGTGTTGGATAATGGTTTATATTCTTCTACATTTTGACTATAAATGTTTGTTGAATGCGTCTTTACTGCTTTTGAAAGCACTGTGGTGGTAATCTTTGCCTCTGTAGAGTTATCATCTGAGTTTGAAGGCTTCTTACGGACAGAATTCTCTAATTTTTTAATTATCAAATCCTTTTCAGCAAGTTTTGATTCTAAAAATGCAATTTGTTCACTTTGCTCAGTCAGCTGGTTAGATAGTTCTACAATAACTTTAGAGTGGCTATTGTCATGGGAAGCTGAATTTAAAGTTGAATCACTTCTACAATTATGATCAAGTATGTCACCTGTTAATTAAAGAAATGTTGAATATAAATGAAATTAATTTATTTTGTTGGGTTTTGAATAAATGAACGAAAATATTATTTACCATAAGTTAATAAAATAATAAGATACATAATTATTGAATAACGATACAGAGACGTATCACTGGATTGAGGGCAAACCAATGGCATGTAGGTTAGACAGGTGATTAACTATCTGTTAATTAAAGATAGATTTTGCACTTTTATAGAAATTCTCAACATAATTGATGTACATGCCACATAGCCATGGGATACTATTGATGCAACCATATAATTATTAAAAAATCTATTTTTATAGAAATAATGATATAAATTTGGGAAAATGGGACACTATGTGTCAAAGCTTCAAAAACATGTCCTAGAAATTTGCTAGCTCAAGTATATAACTTTAGCAATTTAACTAAACTGATATGCTTACTAGATTCTTTTCCTTGATCATATTTGTTATTCATTTCAAGCTTCATTTCCATATTTTTTATTGACGCTTCCTGACGTAGTTCACGGACTTGATTTCTTAGCATCCTTATCTTTTTTTTCAGTCTCAGTTGCTTAGTAAAAGGAAGAAAAAATTATTTTTTTACAGTAAAAATAGAAAATGACTCACCCTTCCTTTAGCCTATTATAATATGTAGTAGACCCATTTCATATTATCGAATTAGCAAAATAAACAAATAAGAGATTTTTAGTGGACATCTTCTATACTCAATTGCACCTCGCTAGTCAGTTCTTAGAAGTTTTGATTTAAGACAGCAACTGAACAGCTTAAAATTATTTCACTCCAGAATTTAAAAAAAAAAAAAAGCTGAAGCAGCTAAAAAATAAAAAAAATGGTACTAGAGTTACATAAAAATGGTTGTTTTTCCATTTGCACTCCATAAAACCTTTGATCTGAGCACAGTGTTAGGTAGGCACCTAACTACTTTTTATATCGGCAAAATATGAAAAACATATTTCTTAATATGAGCCCCCTCATGTTGATGAAAGCTTTTGAGGGTGAAAAAAAAAATGACATACTGCAATGTTCAAATATCCAATCACAATAGAAGAAAGAAGAGGAGAAGGTTTAGAGGGATTTTACATTAATAATTTTTCCAATGTTTTGTCCTTTTTACAACATTTATATGGTTTAACTCTCCCATGAAATTCATATCCGATTTATCCATATTTTGTAATTTAACTCAAATTTCTCTTTGTCACTCTATTACTCTTTGATTTTAGTCCACACATAACTCAAGAGCAATTTACAAAAAGTTATGGCTCTGTTATACCTGTTTAAAAAATATTATTTTTAAAAACAGGAAACTTACAATTTTATTTGACTCTTCCACAGTCCTTTGTAAGTCACTTTCAAGTTTTGATATATGCTGATCCTTAGCAAGAATTTTTTCATCTTTTAAAAGTGGTGTCTCATCAATGAAGGGCAACTTGACACTTTCATGGTCCTTTAACCTCTCTTCTAATGTTTGCAACTGATCTTGTAAATCCAATTTCTCACTTTCTACTTTGGCCACCTGAGAAAATCAAGTGAGGTATATATTGTTGTTTAACTTCATCCTAAATCTCTGATGAAAAGGTATTGATTAAAAATCAAAAGGAGATGAATCAAAAATGTAATGTATTTAAAATTCAAAATTACAGTACAGAACTAACAATTAATAATTTCTTAGGACTTCCATAGAGATATTATTGCTTGGAAAATTTTTAAAAATTAAATTTCTACACAAATACACACTCCCCCCCCCCCCTCCTCAATCCTCAACAAAATATAAATGTAAAATTTTTTAAAATTAAATTTCTACACAAATACACCCCCCCCCCCCCCCCCCTCCTCAATCCTCAACAAAATATAAATGTAAAAAAATTCACAAAATTTAAACACCCACATAAAACATCATCACTCTATTTATGAACAGGCGCCAAATTCTTTAACAATGTCCTCAAAGTTTATCTCATGTCACTCTAAATCAGCGGTTCTCAACCTGTGGGTCGTGACCCCCAAAGTGATTGCAGGACCCTTTCACAGGGGTCCCCTAAGACCATCTGAAAACACACATACTCCACAGTTATAAAGTATCAATGAAAATAATTTTGTGGTTCGGGGGTCGCCACAGCGTGAGTAAATGTATTAAAGGTTCGCAGCATTAGAAAGGTTGAGAACCACTGCTCTAAATAGTCAAATGTATCAAAAGTGATCCTGACTCATAGTTGAGCACAAAGAGTTCATGATACAAAGCATCTAATTATTGATGAGTAAATTCTTCATGTTAATATGTAAACGTTTATCTCTTAATTTTTTTTTTTTTTAGATCAGTCAGTTCCCCTAATGACTTGTCCTTGGTATATGTAAAAATATAATACATTCATGAACTAAATAATCCAGTAATCCAGCTTCTAATTACTAATATCCCAAATGTGCACAAGTTGAAGGATGATGAAACCAACAGTTTAAACCATGTCAAACTTGGCAACTATTGGATGAGAATAAGTGCCCAAGGGCCTATGAACATCAAAACCATGCCAAGGTTTCATGATTTATTCATATAAGTAAACAATTCCTAACATTTTTACTCAATAACCAAAAATAATGTTTTATTACCGTATCAGACTTACTTCTTGATCTCGTTGTTTTATTTTATTTTGCAGCTCACAAATTAGTTGGCTTATTGAGACATCAACCTGAAATGTAAAAAAATTATTCTTGAAGTTCTTTCCTCTTACTTTATAAAACAATCCCTGGTTAGAGAATTTTTATTAAAATTGTTAATGGATATAACTACATTCTAAATAATAAATGTATATCATACAAGGAATATTTAGAATCTTATATTAAAAATCAATAAAATATATAATTCCATTCATCAAACACCAGTAAGAAAAGTTGCAATATTTTTATTTAGTAGGGTGTTGCTTGTCTGAATTACACTGAAGAAAACTTTTTAGCTAGCACCAGCATTAATTTGCAGCACAGGCTTTTAACAACTCATGCAAAATAATATATGATTAACATAAAACACACACAAAAATAGTTATTTGCTACAGGTCTCAATAAGCAGATACCATTGACATGATTTATTCATGAATACATTTTAAAGCCAAAATATTACCTGTTGATAAGAACTGTAAGGTGAAGTGAGATTGGCTTCAATTTTCATTAACTCTCTTGGATTTCCTAAAGTAGTATCTTTCTCTATATGCATCAAACTGAAAAAAAGCAAATTAAGGCTAAAGAGAATCAGTATATTAAAGATTAAATGATTAGGAAGAGTAACAAAAGCAAACTTGTGCCAAATGAATCACCAAAAAATACATACCAATTATTCCAATAATTTTAAAATCTCTGAGAATCTCTCATGAAATAATTAACATATATAATCATGATCATAATTTTTACTATGATTACTATCCTTAATGATAATATTTTAATTTAAATAACTCCTAATAAGACATAAGTATTAGTGTTAACGAATACTAATATCAGTACACTCATTATTACATTATTAGTATTATTAGTAGTTTTGTAATAATTACATTTTAAGACATTTTCATTTACAATATAGTATAAGTTAACAAAGTCAAAGTGTTACAATTTAAAATATTCGTACAAAATCCTTTATTTAAAAAATACCTTGCATTATTTTCTATATCAGAATCACAATCGGATTTACTTTCTATAATTAATCCATTTTTAGCTATATTTGGAAGTACCCTGGTTGATTGTGACGTGAGTCTTGTTTCACTTTCACTCTTCTTTCGAGACTTTTTATCTCCTGTAGAAGAGTCGAGGATTTGATTGCTTGAGCCTGAACCCATTACAATTCAAAAGATTGGTATACTTATCTATTTGAATTATCTAAATTGGTAAAACTAAAAAGGCATTTATATATTTAATCTTATTATGGAAAGAACATCTGTTTTTATCATTAAGGTAGCCATTTTGAAACAACGCTTCGTTTCCTAGCCGATTTCAAAAAGCCAAACTGAAAATAACATTTTTACAGCTCAAATGATATTTATAGTGCAAATAATTATTGGATTTTAAATAAACTTAGAAATTAAAAAAAAACAAATTTCCAAAAATGTGTATTTAATTAACTGAAAAATAAATAGGAATTAAAATTTTAAACACGTTTTGGTCTATTGATGGTAAATTTACTTTTATTTATTTCGTTAGTACCATTAAAAATTGTTTTCTTCGATTCATGCTCTAAAATAAAGTAAAAACATTCAGGACTAGAATGTTAAAGAGGAAGTAAAATTCCAAAATTTTATGACAAGCTTTGAATGCTTTCAATACTTTCATTGTAATTCATAACTTCCTCCTTCTGAGAGAAGTCTGGGTTAGTTGTTATTTGCACAGACAGAATACAGACTTTTTGGAATGTTAAACTTGTTAAAAAAAAAACAACAACTTGAAAATAATTAGCCAATTATTTATTTATTAATATAAATAATTATAGTATAAGTATAAGCGTACTTACTACCCTTACGCCTTACTTCTTACTCATCAAGTTAATGTAGCATAGACTAGCCAGGATTACACAAGTAAGTGCTTTTATTTACTTTATTATTGTACATTTTAATATGTCGCAGTCTACTAATTAATACTACTCTATCTATTCTACAACTACAGGCTAATTGATATAATAATAATTAAAATTTATGATAATTTTTTTGAAGTAGTCCTAGCCTATTTAATTTTAATATATGAAATTTTAGTGAAATGAAATGAAGCTAAAATCTTAAGTCAATGTATAGATTTTATATAATATATAGTATTGGGTCATGATAACATTCTCACTTGATCACTACTACACTACTAACACCACCACAATTTTTTTTCTTCATGACACTAACCAGGTAACCCCCCCCCCCCCTAAAAATATATATTAAAACAATTTTTTTTCTTCATGACACTAAACAGGTAACCCCCCCCCCCCTAAAAATATATATTAAAACTTAATATTATTAATTTAATAAGTGAATAGTGACTCAACTTCATAAGCTATCCCAAAGTTCAGGATTTCTTTCTGCTCCACTTCTAATCACAATAAGTCATTCAAGAAATACAACATAACATTTTACCCCTTGTAATAATTATATCTTAAATCATTATATAATAGCAAAGATTTTTACTTGGCTGCTATAGATATGCAAATGTTTTTTTTAAAGTGTGCTTTTAATGGTATTGACTTTGTATATACCATATTTACAACATGGTGTAGTAGAGGCTTTAAAGTTCTTTGCCATGGTAGTAAATAAATCCATAAGAGCCTGAAAATCTTTAATTCTTTTCTTATTGCATTGTTTATGGCAGGCCTGCACAGCATAAGCCCCCTGAAGTAACAAAATATAAAGAATATTTTATTATTATTTTTTATTATTATTTTCTTAATAGCTCCCCCTCCCCTGTCCTATTTTCTTTCAGCCCGTACACGTTTTTCATTAAGCCAAATATTTTGAGTTGTGCAGGCCTGGTTTAAGGAATTTTCATAATTTCATATGATATCTTTTACCACAGCATGCTTCTCTTGCAGCCAATTCTTAACTAGTTAAGCACAACTTAGGTCCCATTTTAACTAATATGTAATCACAAACTATGTTCATTTAAAAATTAATGTATTTTTAGCAATTTAAAGTTTTCTGATGACTACTAGTTTTGGTTTATAAATGAAGAACCTCCAAACTTTGTAAGGTGTATGGCATCACCAATTGTAAGTGCTGGATTGATTTCATTTAATCACATTTGTGAATTAGTGAGTGCTATCTGCTGCAAAGCTAAAGAGCAGAAAATAAATTCATAACTTTTGCTCTCAATTTTTTTTCTTGGTCAGGACAAGGTCTCATAACACTGCTAGACTATGTTTTAGTTAGAAGCCTAAATTGTTTTGTGTGATCTTTTCTTGTTTTGTTTTGCATTTATTAAAATTTGAAACCACACATGGCATCAGTTCCTTCTTCTTCTATATATTAAGGGCCAACACTCAATGTATTGATCATTCTGTCTCCTATTTATGTAGAGGGTATTTGCTATGTTTCTGTGCCTGGTATTAAAGAGGATATTTCACTGTTCTCAAGGGCTACTCAACAAGGGTATCATGAACTGGGGGTTGGTAGGCCTTAGGCGATAGACGCAAATGTGTCAAATGTTGTCACCTCTACTGTTTCTTTTGGAAGCTTGTTCCAGTCCCTGATTGTCTTTGGCAGGAATGAGCAGTTTCTGTATCGTGTTCTTGCTGATATGAGCCTGAACTGCCTGTCATGGCCTTGTTGCTTTCAAGGGTGTAGAGGCACAATTTTCTGTTTGATGCTGGAGCAGTGGACCAGCCTATTATTTATCTTGTACATCATGCAGAGCCTGGATAATCGTCATTGTTCTTCCAATGGTGACCAGCCTAGTGTTTCCAGCCTGATGCCAACACTAGAGTTGTTCTTGTAGCAGTTCAGCACAAAGCGTGCTGCCCGTCACTGGACCGCCTCCAACCTGTTGATGCTGGGTTAATGGGTCCCAGACTGAAGATGCGTAATCTAAAAGCGTCAGGAGAAAGGCTTTATAGGCACTTTCTTTCACACTGGAGTTGCAGATCTTTAGATTACGCCTTAAGAACCCTAGGGTCTTTTTTGCCTGGTTGCACACATTGTTAATATGCTTGTCCCAGCTGACCCCTCAAGAATATGGCCATGCAATTGGTAAGGGTTGTGTAGAGGGGATCTGCTTCTGGAGACTGACAGGGTCTGGCACTTAGCAGGATGAAATTACATGTCCCAGCTCATCTCCCACTCAGCTAACTGATTGAGATTCTGTTGTAGCTGGTCCTGTTCAGAACTGTTGGTGATTGTCCTATACACCGCTGTTTTCTGCAAACAGTCTTGCTTGGGATGTCAGTATCTCGGGTAGGTAATTGATGTATGGTAGGAACAAACAGGATTATAAGATGTCTCCTGGAGAAATGCTATAAATATAACATCGACACACACCAACTATACGTGGATTACAAAACAACATACGATAGCGTAAACAGGAATTACTTATACAATGCTTTACAAGAACTTGGAGTCCCTAACAAGCTTACTTGGCTCATACACATGACAATGGCCAACTCCAAAAGCAGAATCAAGGTTCAGGGAGAATATTCTAGGGAGTTCATAGTTAATCGGGGCCTCAGACAAGGAGACTCACAATCATGTAACCTGTTTAACATCACGCTAGAAAAAGTTATTAGAAGGATTCATATTACCACCAGTGGAACCATAACAAACCATTTCCAGAGAGATACTACAGAGCAACGACCACCAGGAACCTTATATAGCCAACCATTGCAGTACCTGGCATATGCAGATGATATAGCACTACTCCCATCTTTGGCATTACTGTATTAATTTCGTAACAGGGAACTTGAAAATGCCTCATTCAAAGCTGGCCTTGATATAAATGAACCGAAGACAAAATATATGATAATGTCAAGAAACTCCCATGCTGATGATAACATCAATATAAACAACCACAAATTTGAGAGAGTGGACACATTCAAATATCTAGGGGCAACTATAAATGAGCACAATGAGATAATGTCAGAGGTGAAAGAAAGGATAACAGCAGGCAACCGTTCCTATTTCAGTCTACAAAAGCTACTGGGAAACAAAAATTTATCAAGGGGAACAAAGAAGACAATATACACCACCATCGTAAGACCTGTGGTAACGTACGCTAGTGAGACCTGGATCCTCACCAGAAAAGCAGAGAACCTGCTCAACACATGGGAGAGGAAAATCCTCCGCAAAATATACGGACCAGTGATAGAAAATGATATCTGGAGAATACGTACAAACCAAGAACTTTACTATTTGTACAAAGAACCACCCATAGTCACAATGATAAAAAAAGGCAGAATACGCTGGGCAGGTCATGTTGAAAGGATGCCGGAATGCAGAGCAGCCAAAATTATATACAGGCAGAAGCCTAGGGGCAGACGACTCATCGGTCGCCCAAGGATGAGGTGGATTGATGATGTGGAGACAGATTTACACCAGTTGGGGGTTCGAGCATGGAGACGGAAAGCCATGGATCGCTCCGAATGGAAGGATGTGGTGGAGCAGGCCAGGGCCCTACATATGCTGTAGTGCCATTGATGATGATGATGATGAGGAACAAACAGGGGCCTAGCACCGAGCCCTGGGGGTATCTCTTACTGAACACTGAGAATAAATGAGGAGCTTGTACTGTCCACCACTACTGCCTGGCATCTGTTGCTGAGGAAACTAGATATCCATGTATTGGTAGTGCCTTGGATTCCATATCTTTGAAGTTTGTGTAAAAGCAAATTATGATTTGCACTTTCCAATGCCTTTTTTTCCAAGTTTCTGGGTGTTTTCAACCTGAGGTACCATTTTCTGATGCTTTATCATTGCTGGGGATCTGGTGGTGATGTATTGGCATTGAATCACATGTAAAATGAATAACTTTCTTGTTATAAAAGGATAAGATAGTGATTAAGAAAGTGTAGCAACGTTTAGAAGGAACTATACATGAATAAACTGCCTAACAGTTGGTAGTGATAAGTGTTACAGAAATATTTTCCAGCTTCATTTATAAAATATGAAATATGAAGAAAAGATGTAGGTTAAAACAAGGAAGAAAACAAAACATCAAAAGTGGTATCAAAAAGTTTTCTTGAGCTAACGAAAACAGAACAATCTGAAATATTTTTTAAAAAATGAAAAGAACCTATTTTATGTCTTATGAATTCTGAGTGAAAACTGCAAATTGTTGTTCAACCTGATCACAGTCTCCTTCTTATTACACTTTTCATTTACACTGAGGTTCCTGTTTTCTAATAATGAAAATAAGCTTTGCTCACAATGATAAGTGTCACTGCACAATTTCATTATAAATAATAGCAGAGGCGAGGTGGTTCAAATAGTGACTGATATTTTACTATCCACATTCACAATAAGAAATACATTTCACAAAAATCCGAAAACACTTGGAAATTATATCACATGAATTTCATTTACTAACTTCTGGATAATATAATCTTCTTTACTTGATATATGTATCGACACAATATAAATCTTTATTACAACATCAAAAGTTGTCTCTGTTCAACCTTCTCAAAACAAATTCCATTATTTAACCCCCATTTCTGATTGGCCACTTTCTCCCCAAGTCCCAACACTATATATTATCTAAGAAATATTTAACATATTACTTATCTCCCATTATTTTTCATATTCATATCTGTGACAATAAGTTAATTCCACTTTGTACTTTACAAAATAAATTAAAGCATCAATTTACATTAAAACATGGGCATTTATCTGAAAAGCTAGTAGATTCCTTTAATGAGATTTAAAAATTTACGAAGTAGCAGTCCGAAAATGTCACATGAAAGTTCAAGTGGCCAATTACTTGGCTGCTAAATAAATTAAAAAACCAAAAAAACAAGGATTACACACTTTTGACAAAACCACCTTCTAAAAATCTTCAGGTGGTATTGATGGACCAGTTGTTTGGACCTAAATTTAGTCCTCTTTGGAATAAATATTCAGGACATGACTAATAATATTAAGCTTCAAATAAAGGAACAAGATGATACTATTGTCTTTACACAGTTATTATTTTCAGTATGACAATAACTGATTCAAGAATAATATAAATTACTTTCATATAAAAAAAATTTATCAACAGGAAAATTTGGAAAGTTGTGCGTAAGCTATAACTAGTCATTAATTCCTTCTTTGAGGCAACAACTAATTTATTGTTTGCATCTTAAGTGGGTAAATTACATGTGAAAAAGTGATGACATTTGTTCATTTATTCAGGCCTTAAGTGCCTGGGGTGCTCCATTTGAGTGATGTCCAAGTGACCTTGTGGGCATTCATGAGTAAAACATGAGCAGGCTATCTCCATGTGCCCGAACTGTTTCTCCATTGGTTGTAAGTCTGGATTTGGGTCTCAATGCTTCATTGGAGATTGTCTTTGGGCATACGTTTCTATATATTATTCAGAGGCATTTAGTCTGGAAAACTTCCAACTTCTGTTAAGATGGCTAGTAGTTTTCCAGATCTCTGACCCATAGAGGATAAAACTCAAGACTTTACTTCTGAAGACTCTCATTATAGTGTAGATGCCCTGCCTTGTCCATCCCTAAATTAGGTGCCTTATTAGTTTTACTTATCCTTACTTTACTTGTGACAATCACCCTTCTAGATCCTCATAAATCTTCTCATCTTTCAGTTGCTTGATGTACAAAATGGTTGCATGAGTGCCTTTAATATGGTATTTTCTTTACATGAACACTGTATTTCCTGTGTTTACATTAAGGCTTAAATTGCTGCCCATATCAGAACGTTATCTAATGTTATCAGCAAAGTTCAGGTTCTCAAGGAGCAAGGTCGGTGCCTATCTCCAACATGTTTTTTTGCTAAGTTAGACTAATAGAAGCTTTATAAATTAATTTGATTCTGGGAGTTTGATTGATTGATTGGATATTTATATAGCACTGGTATCCATGCTACTTTAGCATGCTCACTGCGCTCTGGTTTACTTAAATCTATTTAAACAGAAAAGTTTTAAAATGTTTCTTAAATGATTTTGTATAATTTTCCTTTCCCCTCAAAGATTGAGGCAAACTGATCCATAATTTTGGCGCTATCGCTTCAAAAGAGCACACTCAGTTAGACTTTTTTCTGTGTTCATCCACACTGGGAATCTTATCTGAGTTGGGACTGAGGAGAATGCAAATAATTTTACTTCATTTTTTGTAATTCTGATTTATCATCATGGTTATAAAAGTATAAGAAACTATTCTTATAATTATGACTGTTGCCTCATACAGGAACTTTCCTTTATCTCGCTTAGGGGGTTGTCTTTGGATCTAGAATGTGCTGTGACATTCTTATCAGCCTCCTGAAATAAAAAAAATATTATTCATGAATAATTAAAGCCTTAGAATGATTTAAAAAAAAATAATATAAGAAAATGTGATATCATGGGATTTTGTAATTTTGTTTAAAAGTCTTAAATAAAAGGTAACACATTGCATTTACTGGTAGACTTCATGTGCACATGTGTCAATTGCATTGGCATGATCCTCACATAGTTGCAAAGTAATTACATTTATGGTGAGGATGTTTGTAACTTTTTGTTATCTGTGATACAAGTTATAACCTGCATCTATTGCAATTACAGTATTAATGTTATCAGAAGGCAAAAACTGTTTACATGTCAGCCCACATCAATACTTAAATTTTTATAACTCAGGAAGTGAGATAAATGGAGTTAATTACATAGTCATAATTAAGTGTCTGCCATTGAAATCTGATTTGTTTAAAAACTCATAATGGCTTTTTTTCATCCCATTACATCATTTCAATAGGAATTCTAAAGTGTTTTATGCTCACATCGTGACCATTGTTTGAAATTAAGGATGTTAAACAATAACCATATTTCCAGTTATTGGTTTCAAACCGATAACCAGTTTTTGATTGTCACTAACCAGTCATAAAATTATTTCTAATCATGATATGACAAAAAAAAAATCAAGGAAAAAAAAACCAGAAATAAAAAGAATAAAATGTTATAAACTAAAAGTAAATGTATTTGTATTATTATTTATTAAATAAAATACTTAAACAAAAAAAAAAAGAAGATGTAGAATGCTTAAAATTGATAGGCTTCTTACTAATGCATCTTATATATGACTATACCACATTCTGTATTGATATCAGGTGACCAATGTTAAAAACTGCTTGTAGCTGGATTTTTAATGGGAAATTGGTGACCTTGTTATTGCAAGCATTTATTCTGTGATAGATATTAAAAAGTTGGAAGATCCCAGTCTCCCATAATTTTTTTCTCCATTAATTAAGGAAAATTACATAATAAAGAGAATGCTCATTAAAAAAAATATTTCAATAATATGAAGTGCGCCAAACCCCACACCANGTTTTAAATGTATTGTAAACAAGAGTCAAGACCGGAATGATTATTGTGGGAATTTATCCAAGAACCAAGCACCCTACCCTTAGCATAAAAAAGGTACAGGAAAGCTGGTCCCATGTATTCCTGGATGATTGGAGCCCTAATTGTAAAAACTGATAACGGGTTTAAATTCTAATTTAAAAAACCGATCATAGGTTTGCCCAAAAAAAAAAAAAAAAAAGAATAAGGTTTTAACATCCCTATATGAGATGATTAATTGTCTATGATGTAATTGAATCTATTGCAAATGTTTTTAAAAAAAATCTTTGTAAAGGATTTCCTCACATATTTAATGCTTTTCCTTTTATTAGTGTATTATTACTCTCTATGGAATATTTTTCAAATTTTTCTATTATTACAAATTAAAATGTGTTTCCATGCTCAGCCTGTGTAAATCTTCTTGATTCATGGCTCGTTGTGCCTGATTATGAGGACGACAAATATTGCATTTTGCAGTTTACAATTTTTTAAAATTAAGTTTTTTTTTAATTCTTAAAAACTTAATTTATAACAAGTGTCACTAACCATGTTGAATTTTAGTTGTGTGCTTTTAGTTCTCAAGTGTCTTTTTCTTATGATGAGTCACTGGATTATAGTTCACCATTAAAATGGGATCGTAAAAGCCAGCTGATGAATTAAAACAAATCATTTACTTGGACCGGGTATAAGTATAAGTCAAGTGCTTAGTTAAAATTTCCATGGCATGTTAATTAAATAGTGTTCAACAGTCTTTAAAGTACTTCCTTTTTTAATGTGTTGATGATATTAAAGGTCAGAATTTGTTAGTACTGTGCAGGCTATAGTAATAGAGTGATCGTCTATAGCAGGGGTCGGGAACCGTTTTGTCTGAGAGAGCCATGGATACCACATATTTTGAAAAGTAATTCTGTAAGAGCCATACATTATGTTTAAAACTAAAAATTGTAGAAAATTTGTAGAATGAAATATTGATATGCAATTAATACACAGATCAAAGGAGTCTAAAGAAACATTTTTTTTATAATTGAACATAACATTTTTCCACGAGCCAGATGCAGCCATCAATAGAACTACATCTGGCTCGCATGCCATAGGTTCCCGACCCCTGCTCTATAGTATTATGTTTTGTTGGAAGTAAATAATTTTTAAAATGTAATATAATTACAAATTCATGAATTTTGTGTATTTTTGTTCTGATATTTTGAAAAAAGGTATTGTTTTTATTTATTCTAAGCACCCTGCCACTTAAAATTTTGTAAATGTTAATTTTTTCCACAAAAAGAGTCCAAACCTGTCACATCCTTGTATATTCCACTACTTTTGGTCAGCTATGAGATCCTTGCTAAAAAACTTAATTTGACGATCATGAGACTCTGCTTAAAAAACTTTAGAGCCACATTATAGAAAATCAAATTTATGAGGCCCGAGTCCTGTTGAGGAGTTTCTTTGTCAAATTATTCATTTTGTTGTTTTGTTTTTTGTTGCATCCTTTTTTCAGGTTTTTTCCTTACTTTGTTTCACTTACTGTATGTTCCGGCGTATAAGACGACCACCTACTTTTCCTGTTAAAATATAGGGGTTTGGGCTATACTGGCTGTATAAGACTAACCCTCTTCCAATGCACACCAAATAAAAATTAAAAAACATCAGATTTGATTTCAATATGGTAATTTTAAATCAAATGCTTATGACATGCAGGTACTGAGCAGGAAAACTGTCACTTAAACATAAGGCTGTTTGTAATCAAACATGTCAACATAAAACAGTGCAAGTGGATTAAACTTTTCCTAATTCACTCTAAAGCTGAAAGGAAGGATAAGACAATAAACCCATGGGAGCTGCCATGATGTTTGTTTACTAAGCTGTCAACCAAACTGGAACTGAAGTTGATAGGAGGAAGATTACAAACAAAATTGAATGGTGGGTCATTAAATGGTGGGACATTGAATGGTAGGGCGATGAGTGGTGGTACATTGAATGTTGAGACATTGAATGATGGGACATTGAATGGTGAGACATTGAATGGTGGGACATTGAATGATAGGGCATTGAATGGTGGGACAATGAATGATGGGACACTATATGGTGGGACATAAAATTGTGGGAACTGTTAGTAGATGACGTATTATACTGATGATGTATTGAACTATAAGTTGATAATGTTGTATAACTCATGATGTATTGAACTATGAGTTGATAATGTTGTATAACATGATGTATTGAACTATGAGTTGATAATGTTGTACAACTGGGGATATATTAAATTATGAGTTGATAATGTGGTATAACTGGTGATGTATTGAATTATGAGTTGATAATGTTGTATAACTGGGGATGTATTTTATTATGAGTTGATAATGTTGTATAACTGGTGATGTATTGAATTAAGATCATGTGTTCAACTATCCCTCACTCGACCTATGTGACGCTGTGGTCTAAGGTAACTAAGGGCGGCTCAGCTATGGGGCGTCTGTCCCTAAAGTTTCAGCATGCCGTAAACGAGCTTATAAGACAACTCCCATTGTATAAGATGACCCCTGACTTTTGAAAAGATTTTCATGGGTGAAAAAATCGTCTTATACGCCTGAAAATACAGTATTTCCTTCTACCTAACCTGATTGCAGTCTCTCCCTCTTATTATCATAATATTGCAAGCTAACTCCATGTTAAAACTACTTTAAATCTTGAAGTTAATAAAATATGTTGTCAACAAAATTTTACCTTAGATCAAGGTTTCCAACTCAACAGAATTAAATTTACTAAATAATATTTTAATTCTCAAATATTTTTATGGACAAGCATAATTGTTTTACGGGCATATTGTAACATAAAATTTTTGTAATCATAACACAATTTTTTTTTCAAATACTCTGTACCGGTATCCATAAATAGTTTTTGACTCTTGTTTATGTTATATTACCATGGGGCATTAGCCTCTCCTGTTGCAGTCTATTCTACGACATTATCTTCAGTGTTAAATAAAGTCTGAAAATGATCATTCAAAAGCTAGAAGGTATTTCCCATTTCGGTCCCTTCAAAACATTTTTAAAAAATTTCACTTTTTATGGACATCCAAAAGTTTTTAAGGACTTTTGGTCCAATTTTTATGACTGTCCATAACTTTATGGATGGCTGACTACTCCTGTTTAAATGTAGGTAAAATGCAGAGCCATAATAATAAGGTTAGATTGTGATTTGTTCAAGTTAAACAGTTTATAGAGTTATCTATACAGGATTACTCTCACTGTAATAAATACACATATGTGAAACATGTTTCACAAGGTGGCTTGTTTCAGACATCTCTAGGTAGTGTAAGTGCACAAGGTGGCTTGTTTCAGAAATCTCTAGGTAGTGTAAGTGCACAAGGTGGCTTGTTTTAGACATCTCTAGCTAGTGTAAGTGAACCACTGAAAATGTTCAATGCGTAAGAATTCAACTAAAAACATTTCAAACCCCAGGAAAGAAGTGAGTACATGTGTCTTTTTATTTTATTTTCAGTCTCCAGTATCCATAAAGCATGTGTATCATAAAAGTTGTATTTAAAAAAAGTATCTTTTCATTTTCTTTTTTAGACAAGGGAAGTTGGTTGTTATTTCAATTGGTATTCCTGTACCAATAGTGAGACACAACAATCTCACTATGTATAAATCTATCTGAAAGATGGAGGCTCTTGCAGGGAAACTGACAGTTAAAGTTCCTTTCTTCTTTACGGTAAGTTACTTGATGTGGCTTTTTTTAAAAATGTATTTTATTATATAAAAGTATGTTTGACTTTGTGTAGATTGAAAATTAACAATTCATAGATAACTGTTAATTTTAAATCTAACAGTTTAAATGAAATTAAGAATTTGGCTACTTTCAACAATGTAAATAATTTGAGTTAGATAACTTTGATTGTAAGGAAAAGTATTATTTAAAAGCAGAACTTCTTAAAGATTCACTGTTTGTGTTGTTGAGTTTTATATTCTAAGCCATACCTAAGCTGTCTGTAATATTTTTTTAATAGTCACTATCTAATGTTCTTCTCAAACAAGGAACTTAATCCTTTCAAAAACCTACCATTTTAAAATCATATTTGTGAGCCTTATCTGGGTAATATGTGTAGGCATGTATCCAGCAGGGCAGGAAGTAAAATCCAGATTTACTGTTGAAAAGTAAAGTATGATAATCGTTCTCAGCAGGCCCACCAACTAATTATAGCAGAAAGGAAATGTATAGAATGCAATGTCTTCAGTAGATGAACCTTTTTTTTTAAAAAAAAGCATAATTGTCTGTCACTTGACATGAGAGTAGATTCTTTGTTTATATCTCTGTTCCAAACATCTTTAAGGCAAAATTTCTTTAGGCTCTACTTTATTAGCCTAGAATAGAAAACTGAACTTTGGTACACATGTACACAGCTAATTCAGGCAACACATTATAATCTATCAATTATATTTTGGTATATCTGTTGTTAAATAATGTCATATTTCAAGTTTTAAATTTACCAGAAATTGATTTATTCAAGAGATTTAATAATTTAATAAAATGTTAGTGAAAGGAAAGGTCTTGCCATTAAAAAAAATCAATATTGTGAAGTCTTTACCATGTGTGATTTTAATAGAGGAGAGTATTAATATTTTTTTGTTCTTTTCTCTTTCGTGTGCATTGGTATTCAAATCAATGCCAATATCAGTTTTCAAGTTTTTATTTCAACAAATTTTTAAAATTGTTAAGTTTAGAGCAGAATTTTAAGTTTAAGACAAGATTAATATAATATTTAAAGAAAAAAATAATGATATATTTCTTATAGAGCAGAACCTACACTGATGTGTGGTGTGTACTTTATACTGGCACTAGAACACACAATCCCAGGATTGAAGTATTTGAAAATGAAAGGGCTGCCAAAGAAACAAATGCAAAATGTATGAAAGTAATTTACATTTATGCAGCCAAGTGGAAACCTTCTGTCCTAAGGGATCACTCCTTCTCCTTTGTGAGCAAATTAAGTCGGCCACAGGTCTTTTGGGCATCATCAAGAGAAGACCTGCAAAAATGGATCAGTCATCTATGCATTGTGTGTCGTGAACTGTATGACACAAAACATATTGTTGGTATGAACAATGTAGGACATGTTGATGTCAATGCTGTTGCAAGAAATGGAGAGGATATGACTTTGAATACAATTTACCAAACCAGCCAAGATGACCACAATGGTGAGTAAACCCACTCATTCAAGTTCTTCTCTCTTTTTAATTTTTTTTTTTTAGTTGATTGACTTGACCCATGGGAATCAGTATGATAAAGATCAAGCCCTCATATAATCCATGGTTGAAATTTCCAGTCAAGCTCATATGATTTCAATAATGATCTCCATACCAGTCTTTGCCCAACAATCAGATAAGCAAGCTTACAAGTACTTCCTTTTTAGTAACAATGGAAAGTCAAAGAATATGGGAATAAAAATCCTGCAATAGAGCAGGCTAAAATTTTGGTGTATTTAGCCACATGAGCAGAGACATTGTACATATAATCTAATCTATTAAAGAAAAATGGTTGCTGACATCATTATGGCTGCTATTAGTTTAGCACTGTTGTCACAACCAAGCATGGCTGGCCCAAGTTGGTGTGGTTAAATGAAATGCCCAAGCCAAGGATGGAGTTAAAACCAATCCTCTGGTCAGACACCATTTGAATTTCTTCAACCTTAAATAGCCTGTGTTCAGACTTGATGGTTGGCCAATTACAAAGATCAGGGCATTCCTACCAGTACAGACAGGTTTTCTCAGATCTATGTGGGCACAGAACACATGCATAGAAACACTAACATACGGTAATATATTCTGATGTTGGATAACATTCACACTGTGGGTCACTAGAAGTCTTGCAGCAAAAAGAAAAGCATACCATATTTTTGCTAATGTAGGAAGTTAACTTGCAGCACAAATAACAACAGTACTTTTAAATAAGTTAAAGATCTGCCCTAATGTATCCTAATCTTCTTAACTGACACTCATCTTATTGGGTACCGGTACATTATTAATTAACTTTTATACTCTCAATAACTGTTATGGATCATTGGACTTGCTTCTTCTAAGATACTAAGATGCATCTAATACTTGATGTGTCTGACACTTCTAGTTCTTGTCTAGGTGTTTGATTCTGCCTTAACACTCTCAGCACACAGAAACAACACGATACACTTTTCCTAGGCCATGTGTCTTCTCATGTAACAATCCAAACCATAGTTCAATGTTAAACAGGCCACGATGTCATGAAATAAATGTACACCAGTACTCACAAGTTAATCCACATTTTAACTACAGGACATCTTCCTTTAACATCTAGTGATTAAAATTAAAAATTCTGATGTTTACTGCCATGTTCTCCTAACATTTAGCAGAATGCTTGCTTCATTCTTCCAGTTCACTTACTTAATGCTCTACGAAAGTTCTGATTTTCACTGTCCCTTAAGTTTACCTCTGAACACACTATTTATTATCCTCTCATGTTAATTGTCATTTATTGTCCAATCACAATACAGATATCTAAATATCACTCAGACTCATAACTCAAAAAAAATGTTGACTTTTGACACAGTGTTTCTCATAACTTAATTGAAAGTAACAATCTTATTTGATTATTTTCAGCTTCGGATCGTGTATTTATGGTAATTGCAGAGGACAGTGAAGATTGCAAGCGCATCGGACTTAAAGGCTTGTACAAACTTGTTCTTAAAGCTGAAAATATTGACATTTACAATGCGGATACTGATGAAATTGTTGTCAGCTGGTCTCTCTTTGAGATAAAGAAATATGGCTATGCTAGAAATTATTATTATTTAATAGCTGGTGCAAAGGCACGGACAAGTGATGGCAGATTTTCATTTTACACAGGACTTGGAGACAAAATAACTGACCTTTTACTGATTGAGGCTAACAGGTTACGAGTGGAATACAAGGATCAAATAGAGGCCATGAAAAGTGCACATCCTGATGGTATCAGAATCGACATTGATGCCCCCTCCACATCAACAGCAGCAGATGATCCTTATGCAAATTTTGAGACTCAACCAGCAAAACCTCCTCCCACAAAGCCAAAACCCAAAATACCAAAAACCCCCAATAAGAAACCTGAAGAACCAGACTGTGAATATTCAACTGTACAGAAAGGAGCTTCAAGCAGTGAGAAAGTGAAGCCAAAGAAGGATGGGGATAAAAAAGGAAAGGGAAAACAGAAAAGTCAAACTGACAAAAAACCTGTCACAGAAAATGGGACGTCTGAACAGTATCAAGATATTAATGAAATTCGTAAAAAGAAAGAAGAGGGTAAAGCTCAGAAAAACAATGAGGATACAGTTTATTCTCAAGCTGCTAAAGGAGAAAAACCTGGCATAAGAGGCAGAGATGTGAAGCACACAGAAAACTATGAACAGGCTCCTCCAATCATACCTCCTGTATGGGAGAGAGATGGCCAGGATGAATCCAACAACAACGTGTATGACCACTTTCAGCGTGGGAAATCCAAACAGGAGAGTCATGAAAATGTTTATGGCATAGCTTCTGCCTCCACTCCGCCCGCACCTTCAAATAAAATTGGTGCTGACAACCCTTATGAAGACACTACGGCTGCAAGCCCGTATGAATCAGTGGGCTACAATTAGGTAGGCCAGACTCCTGAAATGGAAGGTTAAATACATAATTTCATTGGAGTTGATCACAAAAGTATTTTAGGTTTAATTTGTATGGACTCCACTTACATTGTTCTTGTCATTTTTTAAACTAGTATTAAAATATTAAGTTTGAAATACATTATAGCACTTTGTATGCAGGGGATATCAAACTTGATCTTAAGAGAAAATCTAAAAAGAAAAAAATTTCAAAATTGGTTGGGGTAGGAGAACCAAGTATGGCTGGCCCAAGGTGATATGATTAAATAAAATGCCCAAGCCAAGGGTGGAGTTAAAATCATTCCTCTGGTCAGACACCTTTTGAAATTCTTCAACAGGTTGGGATGGTATACTCAGAGCGTGTTGTTTTTTCCTCCTAGAATTTAAAAAAAATGTATTTATTTTTTTGCAAGTTTTGAAATATAAAAAGATAATACTGGATCTTCACAATTCCTAACCCCATTTTATTTACATTTTAAAAAAAAGATCTTTTGTAACTGACCATGATATGTTACATTGAAACTCTAATCATTATATTGAAGTACTTTTGGGAATTTAGAATTATTGTACGCTTTGATTTTGTAAAATGCCCATTGACATGACTGAGTGCCAACACAATTTACGTTACAAATTTTTAATTTAATGTTCATTATTATTCTTATTTTAAAAGTGCAAAATTGGGTTTTATAATTTGGTCTGTAGAAGAGCTGAATTCTAATCATTTTATTCCCTCACTCATTTATCTATCACTTTTTTTTTTTTACAGCGTAACGTTATTGTTAATTTAAAATTATTAATGTACTTTTTCAAAACGTACGGAATAATTATGTAATTTGGATATTTTACTTATTTTTACCTGTCGATGTTTTAAATAAACCCAGTATATTTTTACAACAATAAAGATTGCACCTAAAATTTTACAAAAATTAAACTCTTGGCTGGCAAAGAGTGACCATTTCCTCTAAATAATTTGAAGGCAATATCTTTTTGCCTATAAATAATTTTAAAAAGCAAACCGATTTTGATGCGCCCCATATTCAGCTAACTACCAGTATTAGAATTATTTCTTTGCAGAACCATATTTAAAGTAATGCAGCATCAAACAGTAAACAGAATCTTTGAAGCCTTCTCTGGCATTCATATATTGTCTTTGATACTTTTCTATTTTTAAAACTGAAAACAATCTTCCTGAGCCTTTTCTTCTCTGAGAAGAAATCCTTGGTAGGATTTTATGAAAACTCATCTTAAAATTTGCTCAGAATTTGTAATAAGCCTATATCAAATATTTATCTCTGATTAAACTGTGTAATGTTGCTAGTATTAACAGTGTAAATGATTTCTAAAAATATTTGTTTTTTATATTTGACAAAGATCTCTCAATGATAATTTGAACCAATCAATGTTAACATAATTTACTATATATTTTAATATAGATGTATAGATTTTTTTCCACAAAAAAATTACATTTTCTTAAATTACGGTACTGTAGTCAACTCTTTATCCATATGTAATCAAGAATGTTGGCATAATGCAGCCATTGGTAAGTTATCATAAATGCCACCCTATAGGCAAGCCATATTATTTTTTCCCTAAAAATTATTTTATCCATATTTAATTATTTTAACAAATACATTTGATAATTCAGAAACTTTCATGCATAGATAAATTCAAGGCAGCAAAAAAGTGCTTGTCTCTCCTCTCATTATGCAGGTACCCTCCTGCCCATTTGTTGCCTATTTACTGGTCAATACATTTCATCAGCATTGCAATTACATAATGGTGTAGTATTATGCAAAATGAGAAGTTCTATGAATATAAATTAATATGGAAATTATTCTAAAACATTATAATTAATGTGACACATTGTTTATCTTGCAGTAGCCAAGATTTAAAAACATTTAGTTAACATTATTCCTTTGCTTAATTTATTCCAATGTCTCAAGTTTTTACTGTATTTGTTGAAATGAAATATTTTGTTGTGGGGGTTTCATTATTAATTTTTTGTTGAATCATGAAATTAAAACTATTGACTATGATTACATTTTTTGTTTTAATATTCATTATGCACCTTATTTAAATACTCCAATTAAATCATTTGTCAAATAAAATATATCTTCACTGATCAATGTCTTCAAGTACTTAAAATGCCTTATGTACTTAAAAATATGACGACTAATGTTGTTACATTTTTCAGTTGATATGAATATTAAATCACATGTTATATTTTCTGTCCATGTTAACCACATTTTATTTTGAAACTCTTTGGTTACCTGTATTATATAAAAAAACAAAACAACTTCACTGTCAAATTTGATGATTCAAATGTAGCAAATCTGTTATTGAAAAAAAAACAAAAAACACACATTTTTAAAAATAAAAAGCTAATACAATCATTATAATTTATATCAGTTTTTATTTTGATGGTTTAGCAAGTTTTAAACAGCAAATTATTTATATGGATTTTAAATTAATTGTAAGTTATTGTAAGTGCCTTTCTTGTTCATGTAAATGGTAATAATTTAGAAATATACTTGGTACATCTGCTATATTAAGTGTTAAAATGATGCCGTGTTATAATTTCTCCTTTATATTTCAACTATATTGGTCATTGTCAAAAATTATGATATTCTCTTTGCACAGAGACATTTACATTATATAATATCATATAATTTTATATAGATTTTATGTTGATGCATTTTGAAAATAGCAGCTTATGTCACACTTCATAGTTCTTTATTTATAGTTTTGCATTTGTAAATAAATAGATTTTAATCCTGTTGAAAGTTGTTATTATTATATCCTATCACTACCACTTTTCTATTCCAAAATTTTATATTATATAATTGTATTATTTTTTCTAAGAGAGACTTCTTATCTCATTTTAAAAAGATGCATGCTGTTTTCTTGTCTCTATTTCAATTTAAGTTATACCCCTGTATGTTAAGTCAAAAGTGAACATCTCAGATTATTTTATTTTTGTGTCTCATCATGTCTTACCCTAGTTAAAGATAGAAAATTAAAATTGGTCGGGAAAGAATAAAGTAAGTTTAAGGAGGAATCATCTCTTAATTTACAGTGGGACCCTGCTACAATGCATCCCACTATAAAGCTAGTCTGGATAGTTTATGGACCCCAAATAACGTGTTATTGCATGGATACACTGATGCTGTATTTTTCTAGAATTGAGAGCCACATTTCTTCAATATTAGTAGATACATACACTTTATTCCACTTATTTGGGACCAGATCATTTGTATGAAATTATTCAGTTTCCCCAATGATTTTATGTACTTTGTAAATATATATGGTGCCTTAAATAAATCCTCATTTATATCAAAAACAAATTACTGAAACTAATTGTGCAAAGTTGAAAGAAGATTTTGTCTATTCCCACTTACAATTCTAACATTGCAAAAAAATTAATCTCTGCAATCTAACTCCATCATTCCACAATGTAATGTTTTTATCTAGCATCTAATTTCTTTGTTTTCAGTACAGTCACTGATTTAACCAGGGTTTTATTGCTATTTGTTCAATATTTCATTCTTTTAAAAAATCAGCATTTTCATTAAGTTATTGAAAATTGTGGGTGTGTAACACTCTATTCTATTCTATTGTTTTCTTCTCACGTGGCTATCTCAAGGTCTGGATGCCATAGATTAAAAGTTCTGAATGTTCTGCTTACTAAGAATCATTACTGTATTTAACGTTTCCTGAATAAATGAATAGTGTCTCAAAAAGGTGAAATGAAATCATTCACTATACTATAACCGGTATTTTACATTTCTTTTTTTTTCTGTAAAGATTTTTCATAATAAATACCTACCCAGTTACTGGTTCCGTATGAAAGGTAATCTACTGCATAAATTATGTATTTCTGTACATAATAACCGTGCCATATTTGTTATTGGCTGAATTAATTTTTTCATTCTAAATATTATGACAATCCCATACACAAAAATTAATCAAATAAATTATTCTTTGAAAAAAATTACAAACGCATTACAAGACTTACGAGTTCAAAATGTAAATGCATAATATAATATTGCTAGAAATTATATGTATACCTGATGATATTTTAAGAGCAGGTACAGAAAACATTTTGAATCTATAAAAAAATATTAGTCTTTTATTGCTGAAGAGGTTTAGCTAGAATTTTTTTTTCAGCAGCTTTATATTTAACTTATACGGTATACAAAAAGAAATCTTTGGTCAATTACATTTTTATAATAAGGGTGTAGGGTGTGAGACAGGGAGGTGACGATGGGGAGGAAAAATCAGTAAAATAGTGTGACATCATTAATAGATAGCCTCAAAGTAAAAAATGCCTCATTATTTTTTCATTTCATTTTTTGTTTCCATGGTACAAAAAAAAATCAATGTGTTATTTTACACTATTCTTTCTTTAAAATACTCTATCTCTAATGGATTTGTTTAGACTGATTCAGTGATTTATATAAGATGTCAGTATTCTTATATTATTAATTTGTACATAGAGTATATTTATTTAGAATTTTCCTGAGAATATTAACCATTTTATTTAAATTATACCAATTGGATAATTTGAAGGCATTGAAAGGAACTTTAAAATTGATTTAAATAAAATGTAACTAGTATTTTTAAATTTTCATTTATTCCCCCATAAGTTAACAAATTAATATGGTCATTAGCTTAGGAAAATTTTTATCAGCCCAAAGTAAAAGTTAGTATAACAATATTTGAGAATAAGTTTCAATATTTTTGCAAATATCTTATTCCAAATTGTGTAAATTTTAAATTTAATGTATCTTTATCATATTTGACCTCTCTTGAAATAAATTATTTATATATTTTTAATCATTGTTCAAAGTTTCAATTAAATAATTTGTTATCATAAATCAAATTGAATAAAAAAACAATAAGAATATATGGAAAAGTGTTTTTGTATGTCACACTTTTTTAAGATAAAAATGTTTTCAGTACAGGCTATAAGAGAGTATGCCTAACATGTATCAGCATTTTAAAGGACCTCTATTACCTATACTAATACTTAAATATATTTATATTTTACAAGTATTATGAAGTTGGATGTGCACTTAAAATAAATGTTAAAGTCTTGCATGTTTCTCAGTACATATGATCTCAGGCTTACACTTCCATAATTGATAAATACCGAATGGAAGTATTTGAAGCATTAAAATTTGTTTCAAATTATGAGTCAGGGATGAAAATAGAATTTTTAAGTTTGCATTAAGAAACCCCACAAAAGCCGATATTTGAATAAAATATGTCAGATTTTTAAAATGTAAAAACTATCAAAGTACCTGTACCATTTAATTATGTAAAGTGAAAGATTATATTTCCAATAACGGATTACTTTGATGAAAATAGATTTGGATCTCAGCTTGTATGTACTAACTACTTTTAAACTATTTATTACGGTAATCAAATATTTAAAGCAGTCATCTAAAAAAATGTTAAAACACAACCGTATCACTAAGAAAAGATTTTCTTCTTTATGTTTTTGTCCAAGATTTCTTTATAATTATTGGTCGGATATGCAAAATAATAAGAAAAAATTGAGGATTAAAGTTTTATATTTATATTTTAAAATTATTGTAAGTTTTTAAGACCTTATGTCGCAGACACAAGAAATAAATGTCTTTTTAAAAATGATTTCATATTGAAAACATATCTTCTTCCGTCCACTCTACCAAGGAGGTATCGCAGTGAGGCGCAGTTGGTGATCTACCACAAGATGTGTGGAGCACGCTGTGGATTAACGTTGTGGACTTCAAGGGTATTCTTATCATTGTCAACCACCAGGCACTAAAACCGGGGAGCCTGCTATTGTAGGCTCACAATGCAGTTTAGTTGACTGGCAATCTGTCCTGGTAGCCAAACCAATTGATCTGATGATTGGCCTATTGGTATTGACAGTATTGTCTATTCACTGGTGTCGAAAGGTGTCCCTTTTTGTTTTAATAATATTACCAGCTGCTCGCCTTAAAAATCTCTTCTCGAAGGTGAAGAGTTTTTCTCAAAAGTTTTATTATAGTCCAGGTCTGGCAAGGGATGGAATAAAGACAATGCTAATTAGCCTGGCCTTGGTTCCATCATTATTCTTGGGTGTCTGACACTCGGTATTATTTGGTAGCTGACTTGTTTGCCTTCTGCACACTTGTCTCTAACTTTCTGTCCACTTTCCCATCTTTAGAGTAAATTATTCCCGGATATTTAAACTCTTGTCATTGTCATTCCTATTGTAGGACAAACTGACATAAACTCAAACTAATGTCTGCTGATGTTCATCCCATAAAGTTTGCAGCAACTGTTCAGGCTATCAATGATAGTATCAACATGGCTCAGCAGCTGTTCCTCATGTAGGATGCATAGGTCTTTGGATACAGTCTTTCTAATATAGGGGCCCACCAGACTTCTAAGGAGGTTGAATAGAGCTAAAAAGTAATGTGATTGAAACAGCAACATTTTAAATTAAAATAAAATGCAATAAAGAAAAACTGAAAATTGCAAAAGAAAATTATTTCAGTTGTCACATCAGCTATTTTTCAGTTAAAACATCATGCGCAAAAAAACAAAACAAACACAATTTGTATTTATGCAAACAAAACCTGAAATAAATAAGTTAAGTTTCCCCCTTTTGTAAAATACTTTTTGCGACCTTACCCTACCCCTTCCATATGGTATCATAAATATTGTTTGCGCTAAATATAATTTAAATATAAGATGGATCGCGGTTAGTCTTTTCGACTAAATCACTAGACTGACTTAATAACAATACTAATACTCTTAGTCCAGGTCTATTATTATGTGCTGGCAACTTCATTTGGGGGAATATTCCAGTGGTTGGATTCAGCTGGTAAAACAGATTATTTTGAGTTCAGCGAAATTGAAATGGTTGTTAAAATGGTACCGTTCTTTTTAATCAGGGTTTCTAAGCCTAAGGCAAAGGGGACGCCTGGGCAGCAACCCAATTTAAATTTCTTACTTACTTACCCCCCCCCCCACACACTTTAAAAAAAAATGTTCATCTTTCTTAGGATGAGCCATAATTTATATGACATGTGTGACTTTGTCTTTAAAAGGCCTCATTACAAATGTAAAAAACCTACTTTATATAATTAAAATAAAGTAGTAAAAGCAACGTGAAAGGGTCATGAACGAATGAATGTAAGACAGTCAGTGTCAGGATGCTGGATACTTAAAATAAGCAAACTATAAAATCGCCCAGAAGTTTCATATTCATATAAATTATTAAATATTATGACACATTTTAAATGTTGGGATTAGATACTAATTCTAACAAGTTTAACAAGTCTCACAATTAAAATTATAACGTTTCAAGTACGGTAAGTGTTTAAAAAATCTGGCAGTCGCCGATTACAATTTAATTTAATGGAAATGCTTTTGACATCAAAGGTCTTCCAAGATATGTAATAGGCCT